CGTACAGCAGCGTTGCCGGACTTTTCGGTCCGAGCGACCAAAAGTACCAGATCTCACAACGTTCCGTTTTAGTTCATCAAAGTTTCCCACCTTTTTCTTAAAGCGATTTGGCAGTAATCGATTGAATGTGGCACAGCCGATATCGATAAGTCACTGGGAAAAATAATTGTGTGCCCGCCCTCTTCTCAGCAAATAATCCTCCCCTTCTCGACACTCGTACGGCATTTTTTAGGCTCTTTCGATTGGATTTTTGTGTGGGCACACTTGCGACCATCTTTGTGAAAAAAGGAAGTCGGTGAGGAATTGTCCAATTACTTCCGCGGCGAAAAGTTAAAACCCATTAAGATGTCGATGATTTCTGCCCGCCTGGCGTCCTCGGTCGCCCGCAACCTGCCCAAGGCTGCCACTCAGGTATTGACCAGCGAATTTAAGCGTAAAAATAGCACCGAAAAAGTGGGCAAAAAAAGATGTCATACATAACCGAATCGATGGGTGGCAAGTATTTGCGAAAAAGATAGTGCAGCGTGCTCTTAAAGTTATACAAACATACGGAAAACACTTTTATTTGGCTCAGGGAACAAGTTATACCTGGTTTTTGCAGTGATTTAGCCAAGAACTTTGTTACGCAATGCGGCGAATTAAAAGCGGCCGCCAGAGATTGGTCGGTTGCCAGGTTACATAATCAGTGAGGGCCGAAATTTGCTACCAAGAATTGCATAGTTTTTGGTTAATTTGTAGGCACAAAAAGGTGAAAAGCGCTACATAAACTTTGTTATTGTGGTCAGATTACATAATTGTGGATTTGACGGAGCGGCCCATGGGATCAAGTTTGAGGTTATGTCCGGCGGCCAAGCAAGTGGTGAAGGTGGATTGAGTGAAAAGTTGGGTATTTCCGACAGTTAAATACCCTGCCAAAGAGACTTTTTATTTATCTATGAGTTCGTGGGTGTCAGGTGCGATACCAGGTAGACGCTACACTTTGATTATCCAATACGTTGCGCCTTACATAATCTAATATTATTATTCCGTCTCTTTTGCAGGCCGCCTGCAAGGCTGCTTATCCCGCCGCCAGCCTCGCTGCCCGCAAATTCCATGTGGCCAGCTCGCAGCGCAGCGCCGAGATCTCCAACATCCTGGAGGAGCGCATCCTGGGCGTTGCCCCCAAGGCTGATCTGGAGGAAACCGGCCGTGTGCTGAGCATCGGTGATGGTATCGCTCGCGTCTATGGCCTGAACAACATCCAGGCCGATGAGATGGTGGAATTCTCCTCCGGACTGAAGGGCATGGCCCTTAACTTGGAGCCCGACAACGTCGGTGTGGTGGTGTTCGGTAACGATAAGCTCATCAAGCAGGGCGATATCGTCAAGCGTACCGGCGCTATTGTGGATGTCCCCGTCGGTGATGAGCTGCTGGGTCGCGTCGTTGATGCCCTGGGTAATGCCATTGACGGCAAGGGCGCCATCAACACCAAGGATCGTTTCCGTGTCGGCATCAAGGCCCCCGGCATCATACCCCGTGTGTCTGTGCGCGAGCCCATGCAGACCGGTATCAAGGCCGTCGACTCCCTGGTGCCCATCGGCCGTGGACAGCGTGAGCTGATCATTGGCGATCGTCAGACTGGGTAAGAATCTTTGGCCAACTTCTTTCGAGGAGGAATGAGCTGGGTGATTAGCCCAGAATAGGGCTTGCAACTAACCCTCTTTTATTGGTTTATTCAATCTGCAGCAAGACTGCTCTGGCCATCGACACCATCATCAACCAGAAGCGTTTCAACGAGGCCCAGGATGAGTCCAAGAAGCTGTACTGCATCTACGTCGCCATTGGCCAGAAGCGTTCCACCGTCGCCCAGATTGTGAAGCGTCTGACCGACTCCGGTGCCATGGGATACTCCGTGATTGTGTCTGCCACCGCCTCCGATGCCGCTCCCCTGCAGTACTTGGCTCCCTACTCCGGCTGCGCCATGGGCGAGTACTTCCGCGACAAGGGCAAGCACGCCCTGATCATCTACGACGATTTGTCCAAGCAGGCCGTGGCCTACCGTCAGATGTCCCTGCTGCTGCGTCGTCCCCCAGGTCGTGAGGCCTACCCCGGTGATGTGTTCTACCTGCATTCGCGTCTGCTTGAGCGTGCCGCCAAGATGTCCCCCGCCATGGGCGGTGGCTCCCTGACCGCTCTGCCCGTGATCGAGACCCAGGCTGGCGATGTGTCCGCCTACATTCCAACCAACGTCATCTCGATTACCGATGGACAGATCTTCTTGGAGACTGAATTGTTCTACAAGGGTATCCGCCCGGCCATTAACGTCGGTCTGTCCGTGTCCCGTGTGGGCTCCGCTGCCCAGACCAAGGCCATGAAGCAGGTTGCCGGTTCCATGAAGCTGGAGTTGGCCCAGTACCGTGAGGTCGCCGCCTTCGCCCAGTTCGGTTCCGATCTGGATGCCGCCACCCAGCAGCTGCTGAACCGTGGTGTGCGCCTTACTGAGCTGCTCAAGCAGGGACAGTATGTGCCCATGTCCATTGAGGATCAGGTGCGTATTCAATAGGATAAGTGGAACGTCGGTTAATCCGTGTCTATAATTTTAAAAGAATGATTTATTGTGGATATGCATGCCCTTGCCGAAACACTTTTAATGCCCCTCTCCCGTTTACTCCCAGGTTGCTGTCATCTACTGCGGTGTGCGCGGTCATCTGGACAAGATGGATCCCGCCAAGATCACCAAGTTCGAGAAGGAGTTCTTGCAGCACATCAAGACCTCCGAGCAGGCTCTGCTCGATACCATTGCCAAGGACGGCCAGATCTCCGAGGCGTCCGATGCCAAGCTTAAGGACATCGTCTCCAAGTTCTTGTCTACCTTCCAGGGTTAAGCAGCAATTAGGCAGTCACGTGCGCAGTTAACATCTCGGAGATGGCATGAATAACGCCGCCGTCCCTGTGCTCGTCATCAACAAGAAAAATTAAACAACTTAAAGCTTAAGATAAAACAGAAATTATACAACAAAAACAAGAGAAAACTCCTTTGCACATTCATGTTTTCCTGCGTGTCCAGCCGGGAAACCCATCTGATCCGTTGTTCTGCGCCATCATGCCGCTAAATCTTGGGAGAGAGAGAGCAGGCGTAGGCGTCGGATTGGTTGGTGGTTCCTTGGTTTGGATGCAGTTTCGAATTTCAGCGAAATATCCGTGCGGTTCCTCCTCCTTAAACGATAGATAATCCCCCCGTTGTTCTTCTACACCTACATTGTAATCAATATTTGAAATATTGTAATCGAGAATAGTCGAAATACTGTCTGTGGATGATTGTGAAACGATGATGAATTAAAAACGATACTAAATTATACTCTATACGGATTTAAATGTTTCTTATTTACTGGGAAGTTTCTATGGTAAATGTTTGTGATGATTGACTTAACCCGATTTTGTAGAACGAAATATCAAATTTAATTAATATGATGTGCGATTGTATATTCAAACCATAGTTATTTTTGTATGGAAACGTATTCTAAAAGTCAAAAAAGGGGTTTACTATTTCATATGAATCTCGTGGATATTGTGAGCATACATATAATAGTTAATATATGATTCAAGTTAAACTATTCCAATTATTGGGTTTTATGTAAAGTAGTTTCCTTCACTTTCTTAAATATTGCAGATATTACATATGTATGTACATAAATTTACACAGGCTCCGTTTTAAAGAATTTCGTTTAAGAAACTTTCTTTATTTCCTTTTGCAAAGGTATCCAGGAATTAGGTATTTTACTCTTAAATATGGACCCGTTGCCGGCAGGAGTGCCCCTGAACTAATCTAGGTCCTGACACTCAGCTGATCCGCCAGCCGGAGAGCAGATGTCTGCAATCCTCGTCCCTTTTCTTAACCCCGTGACCCCCGTGCAAATTAGCCACCCCTCGCTGGGCTACCTGAGCGATTGCCTGTAGTCCAAGGAGCAAGGAGCAGGAGCATGATAAAGAACCCGGTGATTCCAAGTGCTTTGTGTTGTGCATATTTCGTTAACAGCAAGCCAGAAACGAGAGCAAGAAACCCCAAAAAAACCAAAACCGGCAACGGCGGCCCAACAACCGAGACCCAAAAAACAGTAAACCCAAATTATACGGCCTGAAGTTTTTATGACGCCCATTGCCGCTGGCAGTCAGCATAAAATGTGCCAAAAGGGAGGAGCTCTAAGGGGGGCGGAAAGAAAAATTACTTTCCTTTTTATTACATTTGTTTGACCGTAAAAGCGTCGAAATTATTTGAGATGTACAAAAACAGAAATTAATGAGAGTCATAAAACCGTCAAACTTAAATTTCGAACAGGAGCTCAGCAAAGAGAGCAAGCGAAACACAAGCAAAAACAGAACGCACGTCTCGACGACTTTATGCCCTTTAGGTAAAACCCATGCTTAGCGTAAGTTTTTATATAAGTTTAAGCAATTATTTGAGAAGTTTTTTAATGTCTTAAAAAGGGTGAAACTGTTATTATTAAAGGGAACTCTACGTTCTTTTTATACGGTAGAAACGTGTATGAAATTCTTACAAGTTCAATATGCCTTTAATTCGAAGTTTAATGGGTATTAAAAGGGGGAGAGAAAGAGACACACGCATACACACGAAAGTCAGCAGCGACAGTAGCACACACACAGCCACGCGGTTGGACAATTACCGTTGCCCATGGAATAGGGCACACAAAAAAGAGAAGAGGAAGTACATAAGCGCAAAGAGCGGATGAAGAGTACATAACTGACCTGCGATCGCAAAGATGACCTTTCTCTGTAGGGTATCTTGTATGTGTGAGTGCCTTGTGTATTCAGGATTGATAAGGCAGAAGGACAAAAGGAAACAGGGAACTCATCTTTGTCCTTGACAAGGGGTCTCTGTCTGTTCCTGATTTCTCGGTTCAGGGTGTGGAAAATTTCTCACACTCATCAGCTGTCGAAGGAACATCTGAATGCTTTAAAAAAAAACCATGTGTTCGCAAAATAAATTATACAAAACGCGACTATTTCCATATAAAATGCACAAAACTTTATTTGTTATATGTATGGGATCAGAGACAGTTTCTGAAATATTAAAGTTTGTCATAAAACCGCTTATTATTGCTTATTTCTAGGTAAACAATAAACCTTAATTATAATGTATATGTGCGGAATACATAATATAAATTACAAATAATCTAGTCTCATCGTTATTATTGGGAGTTATGTGAATATTATTTTGCACAAGTTTTGGATTTATTCTTAGAACGTAGAACGAACAATTTCCCGTATAATTTAAAAAACTAAAAATACAAATACATGTAGTTGTTTGGAATATAAAATAAAATGCTTGGAGAGACAACGCCGATGTGTTCGGCCAGCAAATGAACTCGTTGCCCACTCTCTCTCTCGGTGTCCACCGCTCCGCCACTCACTCCACACTGAGATATAGTCCCAGCGGTAGGAACTGGCGGGCGTCCAGTCAGCCTTTCCGGGTGGAAAGACTCGCTGCCAATGGCCGGCTCACGAGCCACTTGTGCACAGGGGGCAAAGGTGCTGGAGCTAGCCCTTGGCAGCGGGGGAAATGCTGCATTAAGGGACTCCAGCAGATTGCGATGATTTGAGGATTGATTACGAGATGTTGATGGTGATGATGATTATGACTACAATTGTAACGAACACGAAACGAACAGAATACGGAACGCTACAAATTTAAAAATGAAAACAAATTAAACTAAACTGCGTAGTTTGGTGTTGTGGGCGTGTCTGGTTGTCAGACTACTTCCGCAGGCTCCGGCCTATGATGGAGTCTAGCAGTGGACCGCTCAGCTCCTGTCGAAGCGCAATTTTCTGGAACTTGCTACCCTGGTATTTGTTGTAAACGGCCTTCAGCCTGGCCTGCGGTGCGTCCCGGGCCAGCTTCGCAATTTGCCTGGTGATCGGACGCAAATCTGCGGCCGAGTACCGCGAGTAGAAGGACAGAGTGGGGGTCCAGTGCCTATCATTGAATCCCGTGGCAGCCCGGTAGTTTCCATTTAGCAAGTGCAGCGACAGGAACAGTGAGGCAGCGGCAATCTGTTAAAGAAAAAAACAGTGTTTTTGTTAGATTTATCAACAAGTTGGAGTTGGCATTTCTTGCAACCCACCTCCGAGGGCCTGTAGCTAGCAAGATCGTAATCCACGGAAGCCAACTCGATTAAGTACTTGGCCATGGCATGGTGCTCGTCCTCTGCGGCGGCAGCTTTCGAGTAGCGGCGCAAGAAATGAATCGGCAGTGGTCGCGACAAGTTGCAGTCGATGGCCTTGAAGATCTGCAGTTCCATCTGACGGATCTGGCGGCCCGTGTAGGTGTCATCGGTGATAAAGACAAAATCTCCGATTGCCGGCGGGAACAGCTCCTCATACTTAGTGGCTATAAAGAGGGCTGTGACGCCCACCAACTGCAAATGGGTGCGTTTGGTGTCCTTGACCACCTGTAGGTAGCGATCGATGATGGCCACCGCCAGCTGGAAGGTCTCTGCGGCCAGATGGAACTGAAGGTGAACCTCGTTGATCCAGTCGATCAACACCGCTCGCATTTTGTGCGTCACCTCCTTCTGGCCCGCCAAGTGATCCTTAAAGATGGGCTGCTCCTTCTCCACCTGGTACAGATAGTCGTAGATATCGTTTACATATTCAGAGACCAGAACAAGGTTATCTTTGTCATTTGCGTCGATATCCTCGACCCCTTCCAATCTCTTGGTCGATAGTGACATAGTTGCAGCGGGCATCTTGGTGGCAGCAGGAGCTTTGGCTGAACTGGTGACAGCCGGACCCTTAAGGAAGGACAACGCACCCGAATCCTTCTTAACTTCCTGCTCCTTTCGGACAACAGCTGCCACAGGCTCCCGACGAATCCCAGAAACACCCATCACGGGCTTAGCCAAGGCGGCACGCAACTTGGTGAGCGATTTCTTGGACAGGTTGCTGTCCTCGCGCTTTATAGTGGGCTCATTTACGTTCTCATTAGAGCTAGCCTTTGCTGTGGGGTTCAAGGGATTTCACAAAATAGGTTCATTATACTACTATACTATATCAGAAACCAAAATTCATATGATTTCGGTTGGAAATATATGTGTTATTAGGAGTTTGGAATATTTCTACTTACCCTTTGTGGGTTCAAAAGCCGTTTTCACCGCAATTGGGTGGCGAACCGAATTCGAACGCAAAACAGCGGTGGGCTTTGGAACAGCTCCATTGGCTGTGGTGCCCAGTGGCTCCTTCTTCCAGTGCGTGTCCACGCGAGCCTTGGCATTCCACAGGGCGTTTGCCAGCTTAAGGTCCTTGGTTCTAATATAATTATGATAGTTCTAATAAAAACCCAAGTGGAGATATGGCTAGAAAGTAAACTCACTCTTTCTGGGCCGCATCCTTGGCGGCAATGGCGCGGTTTAAACCACGATTTTGTAGGTCGCCTAAAGCGGCGCGTTTTGTGTTCACCTCCTGCGAAGGTGCTGTCAATTTCTTTAATTGCACTTGGTTTAAATTCTCCGAGGCGTTCTGGGAAAATATTGGAAAAACAATTAAAATTAAATATTTTAACCTAACTAATTTAGTTACTAAGTAGAATTCAATAAATTATAGATAATTTTCATACTACAGACTATAAAATTAAAAAAAAAAAAAATGCATACATATATATGTATGTATGTATGTATAATCCACTCCCCCGCCATTTTTAGAAAAGAACCGCAAGACCTTAGACGTCATTGCACCTCTTCTTTGATTTGTCAGGAAGAAAGTAGAGGCCAATAATTAGCGGTGCAAGTACCGCAACTAGAAAAATTGCGCCAAAATTTGACTTCAGCAAAAACAACAACACATGAGCTCTTGATAAACGGCACCTTTTTCACCCCCCTCTTCACACGCGTTCTTCCTCTCTCCCTCTCTCTATATCCGTCTGCCTGTTTCGTCCTCTCTTTTACCTAGCCCACGCTGCAATGGCGTCGCTGAACCCGCTACTTTTCCAACTCTTCCATGACACCTATCCCGATTCTGGCTAAAGTTAATAATAATAGGTAAAACTCACCTCATCGCCTCGCATTTTCAGAGTTGTGCCCACCATCTTGATTGGTATTTTTAACTATACAAACACTGTGTAACACAAAGAGCAGACGCTTGATCGCTTTTTTCACTTGTTTTTAGAGCGCGTTTCTACTATACTGCAAAACGCGTGTTTTTTGTTTCGAAATGGAATAGCTTGTGAACTAAGCTGATCCGATGTGAGTAATGTACAATTTAAAAATCGAATGTTGCTGAGATTGGTATTGCCTCGACGAAAATCTGATCGCACGAAGCGGAGCGAACGAAGCCAAGCTGCAGTTGAATTTAAAATTCGATTCGTGATGCGAAGTAGAGTAGGCCGGAGATCGATAGCACTATCGATAGTAGCGATGTTTTTTGAAAAGGCGATACATCGATGTATTTGTCCAATTTCGCAGTGTGGCCAGTGCTAATCTTTCCCAAAAGCCTCAAAAGTGAAATCTTCCTAAAAAATCCACATCTGACACTCGAACCCACCTGATACTACAACCTCGGTCACAGATGAGAGTAACAGAGTTGTAACAGCATTTTCTGTTAATGAGAGCTTAACAGGGGTTTGCTTATGGAATTCCCAAATTGAGAGCCTAACAGACAGCATTAACAGAATTTTCTGTTAAAATGAGACCTTAACAGGGTTTTGCTTATGGAATTCCCAAATTGAGAGCCTAACAGACAGCATTAACAGAATTTTCTGTTAAAATGAGAGCTTAACAGGGTTTTGCTTATGGAATTCCCAAATTGAGAGCTTAACAAGGTTTTGCTTATGGAATTTCCAGAGTGAGAGCAACAGCACTCAAACCGGCAGTTGAGTTTAAAATTCGATTCGTGATGCGAAGTAGAGTCGGCCGGAGATCGATAGCACTATCGATAGCACCGATGTTTTTTAAAAAGGCAGTGTGGCCAGTGCTAATCTTTCCTAAAAATCTCAAAAGTGAAATCTTCCTAAAAAATCCACATCTGACACTCGAACCCACCTGATACTACAACCTCGGTCACAGATGAGAGTAACAGAGTTGTAACAGCATTTTCTGTTAATGAGAGCTTAACAGGGGTTTGCTTATGGAATTCCCAAATTGAGAGCGTTTTTACAGTAGCTGTGGCCAAGACTATCGATAGTATATAGTACAGTGTGACCCTGGGACTTGAACTTTTTTAAACTATCATAAATTGGGTTGAAAAACAGGAAAGGTTCCGCCACAAGAATTATAAACTGTTATAATAAGGGCTAATATATAAATATCTTTATAAAAACAGCTTAAATTAAAAAACATAAAAGTTCAAAATTAAATTTAATGAATTATTCGTTGTGTAAAAAAATTTTAAAAAACTTCAACGTTCAAATTATATCGATAACATTAGCACATTTATACCAGAGGTTGAAGAATTGGATTAAAAGGATAAATTACTAAAAACGTTCTGGTTAAACTAAACTAAAAAAAGTATTAGCACTTTTGGACTTTTGTATTGTTGCATTTTAAATGACAACTGTTCTATTAGAAATAAATTTGGTATAAAAAAATCGTAAGCCATTTCATTATGTATCGATAGCTTTAGACCAAAACAGTGCTGCCCATAAGATTTAAATTTAAATTCAAAATGAATCAACGGTTGAAATCCCTTATCCTATCTGTTAAAGTTGAACTTGTATTTATTTATAGGACTTTTAAACTAGCTAAAACTCTGCACAGTGCTGCTTCTGTGATTCTAATGACTCTCCTTTTTAATTAAGACATTGCATCGCATTGCATCAGGCATTGATTGCCTCAATTAAAAGCTGATCACTTCAATTGGCTGTCTGTTCGGTTTGTTTGTTTTTGCGCCTCCCTGATTTGCATTCGCTGATTTAAGATTTCCTGCTGCCACAGGCCGCAGAACATCGAAACTCGTAGCGGAAATGCAGCATAATTCTTGCTTCTGCTCTGCCTTCCTTTTTTTGCTGATGATCAGTGTCAAGTTTTCGTCTGCTCCATCATTTTCAAGCACTTGACCACAAAACAATCGCCAAGTGACTGCGTCTTTCCACTTTATCGCCTTAGTTTTTGCCAATGTTGTTTTTTTTCCAGTAAGATCTTTAATTCTTTTTCTTTTTTTGGCCCTTTGCTCCGTCTTAACGGTTGAGGCATTCTTCTTCTCTTCTTCCGGCGCTCTGGCTCATTAGCATATATTTATGAGTTTGTTTTGCCTGGCGAACAACACAACTCCCAGCCGCCGAAAAGCCAAGCCGAGCGAGAACGAAGTGCCCGCCGACGATCGTCGTATTGTATCATGCTCCAAGTTTTCCACGATTTTCACATTTCATTCGCAAAAGCCGTCGCGAGTGGTTGTGTGGCTCCCCATTTGCGTCGGGCTTTTCTTCGTTCTGGTGAATCCTTTGAAAAGTCATCGATCACATTAACCTCCGGCCAGAATTTAGTGCTTTAAACAGTCCAAAACGCTCACTTATTTTCGGTGTGATTTATGGATTTGAATGGCGTAGTTAAATATATATAACATTAATTTCGGATATGAACCAGAAGAGCGTTATGCTCCACAGCCGATGATCTATATGGAAGCCGGGGCCGTGTGTGTGCGTGTGTGTTGTATGCTGCTTAATTGTTCGCTGGCGTTTAAATAAAAATAAGTGCGTTTAAATGTGCAAAACAAAAGACTGGCATTATTATACTATACATATTATATATTGGCGATCAGCTAGAGCAGCGCAGTAAATAAAGTGCCTTTTCAAGCACCATTTCAGCCTTATCTCGAGTGCTACGGATCAATAAGGAAGAACTTAGGCAACAAACTGCGGTAAAAATATAGTAAACTAGGGCAGAGGGAGAGTGGAGAGGAGAGAATAAAAGCCAAAGTGGCCCAAACAACAAATGACTCGTAATGCAATGCCTGGGCAATTAATTAGTGCATAAACAGTTAAATTAACTGTCGGTGCAACACGCGCATTCACTTTTCTCACTCTCTATATACAACTACTATATATCTCGAGAAATCGGGTTTGGGAGTCTACTAGCGTTAGCAAAATGTAACTGCACACACAAGAAGCCACAAATTATGACGCAAAATACCGAATTCGGTATAGCGCACCCCGAGGAATAAAAATATTTGCAATTTATGCAACAATCGTCGCATTGCCTGGCTGTTGCAGCAACAAAAAAAATAGCGATTAGCTTCGAGCATTACAACAATACAGCCAGAAAAATCATAGCAAATCGCAGCTCACTTCTGTTGTCACCGTCAAACGCATCGTTATGAGTGTCGCCGCCTCAGCAATTGGGCATTGTCGTTTGGCTTTAATCGTTTTGACCACCTTGTGGCTGCTAATCGATGCGGACGCCTACGCTTCTGCCACTCGGCCAAAATCCGTCAACATCGAGCTGCGACGCAAGAGGAGCTTACATTACAATGGCATTGAGGTGAGTCCCGATATCAATCAAAACTTGAACATGGCCATAGAGCTTTGTAATTTTAATTGACAATTGCAGCGGGGGCTTTGATTTTGTGGGAAACAAGAAAGACATTATGTCAAAATATTAATGTTAATCATAAACTACTTATTAAGAAGTGGAAATGTTATTTTTTTTTAATTCTTACTGAATTAAATAAACCTTAATATTAGTTAGAAACTTTTCTAATAATCATAACTTTATAATATTTGGGTCTTTTATAAAGAAATAAATAAATAAATATACAAATTTCTCCCAAGTAAATATTAATATTAAATATATTTAATGTATAAATATTCTTACTGCATTCTTCTTAAATAAGAAATGTCTCATAAGATATTTTTTTAAACACCTAATGCCATGGAGGTGACTACCATTATCAATCAATAGTTGTTCTTGGCCTCATTGTCGCGCGATATGTGATATATCTTTGTGAGCTTACACTGAAACACAAGGTTTAAAATTGGACAAAATAAATGTAAACTAAGAAAAGCTTATAGAATATGTTTAATGTGATTTTGTTATCCTCTAAACTATTTAATTTAAAAATATGTTAATGATAGAAAACATGATGTTTGTTTTAACAATATGTTATTTTTATTGCAATTTTCTATTAAGAGGCATTTAAAACCAGAATATAAAATTGATACAAAGGTATATACTCTTTTTATTTAAAATGTTAAAAATTCTTAAAATATAGAATACATTATTTTAAATTAAAAAAATCTATAATTCCATAAACATATATAATTAAATCTGCAAACAATATTCTTTAAATCACTTTCTGACTCTTCTGTAAATTGTAGATTTTTATATTTCCTCTTTAATTTTCCCAGTGAATTCCAAGGAAGTGATTGTCGATATAAATCAATTAAGAAAATCAATAAACAATAGTGTCCAAGTGTAGACGTTCTTGAAAGTCATACGCTTAACCCATATAGCGAAAACAGGTGATCATCGTCCAGCCACACATCATGCTTCAGGTGACAATAAAGAAGCTAAAAAATCGCCATGTAGACAGAACATGGACACGAAAAAAAAAAAGAAAATACATTGTCTCTGACTCAACTTGGGTTTTGCCAAGCTAAGCAAAAAATATAGCTGAAGTTCCGGGGCAAAATCGGGGGTTATGTGTAGAACAGAGAGGCGTTGAATGACCTCTGCAGAATTGGGCGGCTTGGAAAACGTTTTCGTAATTTGAGACCGGCAACCTAATAAACATAAACCAGGCGACAGCATGTCGAATTACACATGTCTTTTCCTTAAATTGCCCCTCCCGTTATAGCTCCTATATATATATATTTTATTTATATATATTTTTTATGCTTCCAAATCGAGTCTGAGCAGGCGTCGCAGCGTCTTCTTGGAGGAATGTAACACATGATTACGGGGAATTGAAAACAATCTGTACACCAGCTGGCGACTGCAGCTGCCTCGAAATCCCACTGGATTCTCAGCTGGGAAGTAACAAAAAAATAGGGAGTCCAGTTTTGTGTTTTTGTTAGCCAAGTTATTGACCCTTTAGAATCGTTGGCTCGGTTACGCTGTTGATTATGTGATTTTCCCCCCACTTACGGGTGCTCCTTTTAGCCGCCTGCAAAATTGGCCCGAAGACAATTTTCTGTGATATAATTTCCACGTGTTTGTTTCTAGTTTTCGCTATTTTTTCCCCCCTTTTATTTTTCTTTCTGGCTCTTCTTTTATTTATTTTTTTTATTTTTTGCGCTCATTGTGCCCACGGGTCACGCAAAATTTCATCACATAATCAGCGCCGCGCCGCTCGGTGGGGACGATTAGAGTGAGCATATATGCCTGCATTTTCCACTCCGCTTTTCTCCACCCCCGTTTTTACCGCCTCTGTTTTTGTCACAGGTTATTGTTGCTTTCCGTGCTTTTCCGGGGCTTTTCATGTTGATTTGGTCCTATTATGCTGTTGCCCTTGCAGCCAATTAGTGTCCATTTCATTGAGCATTGTTTGCCATTCGATAAAGTTCAGCGACAAAGTTTTGTAAGACCGGAGATCGGGAAATGTTATAGCAAGGGGTTCATTGCTGTAATCTTTAGGAACTAGGTATTTGTACTTTGAAAAACATATTTGTTGCAGCACTTAAGTTGAGTCAATAATAAACAAGACATAAAACTACACTGGGAAAGTTTAAATATTTATAATAAACTTTGGAAATCGGTTTACGTTGTAGAACATTTTATTAATATTATTATATACTCATATGGTTGCTGCTTTCCAGAAGGCTTAACATGAACTACAGGACTTAAAGCTTTAAAAAAATGTAATTATTTTTATACCCTTTCAGGGTATTATAATTTCAGTCAGAAGTTTGCAACGCAGTGAAGGAGACGTTTCCGACCCTATAAACCATATATATTCTTGATCAGCATCAATAGGGGAATCTTTCTAGATATGTCAGGAAGAAATCGATTTTTTGGCCATTTTTGAGAAATTTTATAAGGGGTTACATCTTTAAAATTTTTGATTTTGATAAAAAAATTGAATTTTCAAAATTTTTGAATGAAGTATGCAGATTTATTAACTGTACAAAATCTTGCACAGAACAGTTTTCCGATTTAAAATTAATGCTCTTTTGGCCGAGTTATGATATTTTTAATTTAAAAAAAATCAATAAATTTTTTAATATAAAAAATCCGATTTTATAATACAAAATAATATTTTTCTAAGTCAAGGAATCATTTCCGACCCCATAAACCATATATATTCTTGATCAGCATCAACAGGGGAATCTTTCTAGACATGTCCTGAAGAAATCGATTTTTTGGCCATTTATGCGAAATTTGATAAGGGGTTACATCATTAAAATTAGCAAAAATGGCCAAAAATTTTGATTTCTTAAAATTTTAAATTTGGTATGCAGTGTTTTTAAATTAATAAAAACTAACACAAAACTGCTTTCCGAATCGAAATTAGTGAATTTTTGGCTTAGTTATGATATATTTTAATTGTTACCTGCAAGTGTATACAAACCTTGGCTGGCCAAAGTTAGCTTTCTTTCTTGTTAAAGTATATTTTATAACATCATATATTTTATAACATGAAAATGAAACATCATTTCAAGTTCACCATTTAAAGGTTCAAGTAATAAAGTTTTTTGTGAGTTTGTTTTTCTTGGCTGAGGTCACTTATTTAAACCTCTTGAGATCATTAAAAACCTTTAATACATATACCACCTAAAATATCCACTTTATAATAGCTTTATCCCCCACAAAACTAAAATCAAATTAAGCCAAAAATCATTCTTTAAAATTGAAATTAAAATTCCTTAGCGCTAAACGACCAGACACGCCCATTTTTTACACAAAAACTTACAATGTTGGTAATAAACATCAGCCACAACGGCAATTTGTAACACCTTCTCCTCGCGAGAGGCGGAGTTTCGATCCGAAAAGCCGAAACGCTCTTCACGCTTCGACGGCTTCAAGCGCGCTTTTCCACCAAATAGAAAAAGCCAAATAAAACCAAATGAAAACTGTTACAACAAATTAAATTAAATAATCGCACAAATAGGCGCACACGCACCACAGATACTATATGGTTCCAGGTCTGGTTTAGTATTTACATATATAAGCCAAGTTGTGGTGTTGCATCAACCTTTCCACTGATGACCCCGGCACCGCAGCAACAGATGTTTGAAGTTGTCTAATTGGGGTTTTCTTTTGAGCTACAAATTTTCCATTGTGTCTGAGTGAAAGTATTTTATTTTTGTTTCTTACTTTTGAGGAAAATAATAAAAAAAAACCCTTCTCTGTGGGTGCTCGCATCTGTTTTGGTCTGTTTAACGCTTTGCTGGCCATGTTACACTTTCCGCTTTGCATATTAAGCCCTCTGTCTATCTGTGCTCTTTCTCTTTTCATATATATCCCCCATTATCCCCACTGCAGCTGGACGAGAATGCTCTACTGGGCGAGCTGAGGGAACACGAGAGGGCCCTGATCTTTGGCTCACGATCTAGGGGAGAGGGTAAGTGTTGGCCCGCCGGGCACTGACTTGTAAAGATTCTTAACTGTGACCCATAAAACTAGATTTTGAGGGCGGGTAATGCACAGGGAAAAATATAAAGTGTAATTTATAAAATAAAATACATAGTTTTGTAAAAAAAAGTTCAGTCTTTGTATTTTAATTTTTTGTTTTAAGCACATTTTCCCTCAGTGCTGTTTGAAGTCTTTTAGCCATGACCCATAACCAAAACTGCAACGTGTCATTAGGCTGGCAGCCCCCAAAAAAAAACTTCAACAACTGCAATCAATGAATGTTAAACTTGAACTGTTAACTTGAAGGTGTTTTTGGGGGAGACGGCAAAGAGGGTGCTGAGTTTCCCAGGGAGCAAAGGGGCGTGGAAATCTGCACAGTTGTTGGCATTGATTCATGGCAGGCATTTATGTTGTTTGTTTACCTGGCAGCACTCGAATTTAAGCTCGTGCACTTGGCACAGCAGGAGGAGCATACACCGGAGGAGAATGACCAGGAGGGTAACCCCCCAAGAGGACGTCAGCGCCGCAGCTTGCCAGCAGAACAACAAGGTGAATGAAAAAAAAATAACACAAGTGCCAATACCGAATCCGTATTAGAATTTAAATCGAAATCCAGATCCAGAGAGCGCGAAATCCACATCTGCCAGCAGCAGTTCGTGCTGCTCCAGTTGCGGTCATTATTATGCGCAAATGTTTAATTAATTCAAATGCATTCGACAGACGATGATGATGATGATGACTCCGAGGCAGTGGAGGCCAGGTTGCAGCTGCACCAGTCGCCGCAGCTGATTGACGACGCCTTCATCTTCATCCGGCGCACCGAAAATGGGACACAGTTTGTGGATCATTCGCCGCAGCTGCTCAAGCGCCTGGAGCAATGCTTCTACCGGAGTCCAGCAGCTGCTCTGGATCTCTGCGAGCCGGGAAGTGTGGTGTGTGCTGGGTTTTCCCTTATCCTCAACATTTAATAATATTTTTCACGCCTTGACTCCCTATAGCGTGGCGTGTTCCAGCAGAATGCCAGCGACTTTTTGATCCAACCGCTTCCCTCGCGCTTCGGCAGCGGCGCCCATGTGCTTTACGAGGCGCGGGTGGACAGGAGCGGCTCTGGTGGGGTGTCGTCAAGGCGGATTAATGACGGGACGCCGCCACCGTTAGACAGTCAGTTGCAGTTCGAGCCCGATGCGGAGGAGTTCAACGAACCGAGGAGGCGTCTGCGAGCACAGACGCCGCTGAGATTGCGCTTTCAGCCACGACACCATCATCCGCATCATAATCATCATCACCACTCGGAGTCAAGGCATCGGAGGAGGACGCGTCGGTACATAGGGAATCCACCGCGCTCCCGCTGGTCGGATATTCCGGATGAGCTCTTCATCGAAACGGCCATCTTCGTGGACAGCGATCTCTATGCGCACATGCAGCACAATTTTCCCACCGACACGGAAGGCAAAGTGATTAGCTTTGTCCTGGCCATGATCAATGGAGTGCAGCTACTCTACCACCATCCCACGCTGGGTCGTCGCATCAACTTTGTGCTAAAACGCCTGGAAATATGGAAACCAAGGGATCCACCGGGATTATCTCGCTCCAGGGATGTGGACAAATATTTGAATACCTTTTGCAAGTGGCAGGAGAAAATGAATCCCTACTCCGATGCCGATCCCTTGCATTATGATCATGCTCTGGTCCTCACCGGAATGGATCTGGTGACCTTTGAAAACGGCAAAGCCAATAGCCAAGTGGTGGGCATGGCCACAGTCAATGGCATGTGCACCTCGATTTACTCCTGCACGATCAACGAAGCCAAGCACTTTGAGAGCGTCTTTGTGGTGGCCCACGAAATTGGACACAAGTAAGATATGAAGGATTTCTGGAGAAGATCTTATTAATTATTGCTTCTTTTTTAGCTTGGGCATGAGACACGATGCCAAGGAGATCAGCTGCGATCCCACCATGCATATTATGTCGCCCAAATTGGGCAGTGGCAAGGTCACCTGGTCCAAATGCTCAAGGACTTATTTGGAGGACTTTCTTCAGTGAGTATAAAGGATCTAATATTAAGCTAAAAAAATATCAAATTAATATTTATTTACAGGGATCCCCAGGCTGAGTGCCTCTTTGATCGCGGTCAGTTTGTGGCCAACTTGGATCATTCTGCTGGTGGAATCCTACCAGGTGAACGCTTCAATGCCAATCAGCAGTGTATGCTACGTTTTGGCAAGGACTTTAAGCAGGCCAGCAGTCAAAGCAGGATGGAGATATGTAGAGATCTGCACTGCCGGCAGGATGGATTGCCTTGGACCTCGCATCCGGCACTGGAGGGCACCGAGTGTGGGGATAATATGGTAGGTCATGGTGTTACCCAAGTTATAAGACATCCTTATCAACTTCTTTTCTTTAGTGGTGTCGTGGCGGTACCTGCGAGGCTCGCTCCCGCAAATCCTGGACTCACGAGAACGTGGCCGAGCCCACGCACGAGAAGATCATCCGGCATGATCCTAACAGGATACCATCGCTGCTGCATGAATATAATCCGCTGGGAAACGAGCTGCCTGGATTACCTTCAAACTGGGGCGAATGGAGCGAGCCGAGTGCCTGTGAGTCGAGTTGCTTGTACGGCCAGTCTCATCGCCTTCTGGAGGGCAGCACTGGACTAAGGACCTTTAACCGCAGTTGCTTGAATTTCCCATCTCGCTGCATGGGAAGGGATCTAAAGTTTGTGACCTGTCCCTCGGCCCAGTGCCACAAGGTGCCGCTCCAGACAATCGGGGACTTTGCCACTAGGGTGTGCCTGCAGGCGAGGAAATCCGATCCGGAGCTCACCGGCGAGGGTCAGCAGCTGAGCACTACGCTGGAGGAGTCATGCAAAATCTTCTGCCGCACCAGGAGCAATGGCACCAAGTCGCGCCGCTGGATCTTTCCCGATGGCACATCCTGTCGGTCGAAGCAACACAAACCGGAGGATATTACCTATTGCATTGCTGGGCGTTGTGAGCGCTTTTCCTGCGACAACTCCACCTCGAATTTCTTCAAAATGGACAGTGACTTTTGCGAGAGGAAGTCTGGGCGTCCGGTAAGGGATTCCTCGGATCAGGAGAGCAGGCAGGAGACCACCAACAAGCGGTATGCAGAGCGGCAGCAGGGAATCACGCCAAGAAGTCCACATGAGAATGGTAAGGAGATTTGAAGGAACTTCCAATGATGATTCATCGTTTCCTATCTGTAATCCCACAGAGGTATCAAAGGGCATTCCTCGTGGCAACCACATCAGTGCACCACCTGCGCCTTATAAGCGAAGGCCCTACCCAAAGCCTTATCCTCCGGAGATCTCCCGACCTCCGCCGCCTGCCTCCGCCTCGCTGATCGCCATCGATCGCAGCTCCTCACAGGAGTCCGAGTGGATGGGGCATCCTGGCTGCCACTCCAACTGCATGACCGACTCAAAGGGCGTCCAGGGAGTCACCTCGCGGCTGACGGGCGTGGAGAGCATTCGTCTGTGCTCATACCGTGTCCAACCCTGTGAGCGTCTGCAGACGGCGGCAGAGTTTGCTGAGCAGACCTGCGCTCGCTACCGCTCCAAGGTGCGGGGCTTATCGGGACGCGGGGCCCAGATCTGGCCCAGCATCGATGAACCGGATCGTAGCTGCCGGGTGGGCTGTCAGGACGAGTACATCAAGTATCGCTACTACCTGGTCAATGGCCGGAATGGACAGTTTCCGCTGGGCACGCGCTGTTCTCAGGTGGGCAAGCGATATTGCGTATACGGCAGGTGTCTGGAGTTTGGCGATGATGATCTGCCCCTGGAGAAGACCCACATTAGCTTGGGTCGCTTAAGGTCTCGAAGGAGAAGGAGCATGGCCTTTAATGATATATTAAACATAACGCAGAACCTTGAAGAAACACATTTAGGTGGGTTTTTGTAATATATATTGGTTTTATATATACTTTTATTATTTCTTTTATTTATTTCCATGTACTCTTTAGATATTTTTGATGAAAACAACGAATTCACCCCACCCATACACGTCTCCGCAGACGAACTGAGTAGCAACAGCCAATAGCCCATTAGCTTCCTGGCCACAATTCCCTTAGTCGATTAAGTTCTAAGTTATAGATTAAGTTCAAGGCTGCCCCGAAAAAAAACTGCCGGAGAAATATACATAAACGATATAATTATTGAAGCAGCATTTTTATATTCTCTTTTACAGATATATTATATACTTATATACTTTTTTTAAGCCTAATTAAGGAAAAGGAAACCTGAAAGGTTATTCCTTTATTACTTAACCATTTTCCTTGAGCTTTTTTGAGGAAATTGCCAATTAAATTAGTTGCAAAAACCCACTGACAGTTAATGATAGTAAAATTGAAAATTCCTTGACGAGGAGGAGTCCCGCCTCACTTTATTTTTCAATATTGGCTACACACTCGAGGTGGCTCTCCGCCCATTTGTAATATTTCTGTGTGGGTTTTCCTCCTCTTTTTTTTGGCGTTCGCATGCAAACGATGGCAGCAATTACCAATACTCGATACCGAAAAAAAGGGTAACAGCAATCGCCCAAACATTCGCCCACAAACACAGAGGTCCTGGGGCCGTTGGTGTGCGTGAAGGAAAAAATTAGATAAAACACCTACGAAACGCTGAATATGCCACAGTCTGCAAGGAAAGCGCGCGTCGTGCAAATCGAAACGAAACGAAAAACAAAGCCCCGAAAAAAACGCAGGAAAAAGGAAAAGCTGAAAGCGGAAAGCGACGGCAAATCGGAGAGTCGGAAAAATCGGAAACGTTGAACAAAAAACTAGTGAAGTGTATGCAAGCAAGGCTGTGATTTGTGACTCAAGTGTGGAGTGTGAGGCAGCAGGGTCAAGACATATCCTTCCGGTCACGTCCTGTCAAGTTCAATGCACCAGCACCAGACAGGTGCACTTAGGGGGAAAAAAGCAAAGCCCCAAAGCTTATGAATAATTCATAGATGGTTTATAAAGACCGCCGTAAAGTGCCATCCAGTTGCCTAATTGGAGACAAATATATGCATGACCACTTTTTAACCTCAGACTAAGTGGCACTGACATTTTCATGCCTCCTTCGGGCACAATTAAAATTTAGGTCAATTCGAAGCCTAATTTTGGGGGGACATCAGGAGTTGCCAAAAAACCTTGGAAGCCACTCACGCAGCTCCCTGGGGAAACTGTGTCAAGTTGGTCTTTAAATTTTGACCACACGCAAGTGCGTACGGCCATTACTCATCCATCGAGGAGCACGTGCTGTCTTTGTCCCGTCAGGACCTTGGGGCAGGACCCTTTGACCTGTTCTTTTATACAAATTTCCATACCCTCCTCCTTCCTGCCCCCATTTCGAAGTCGAAAAATCGATTCACAGCTAATTGGTTTGTTTTCAACGCGTTTCTGCTCGCCCTTTTACTAGTTTTGTTTTCCAGTTTTTGGGCACCTGTCCTGCAGCAGGCCATGTCCTGTCCAACAAAACAAGCCGAGTGCATTAGATGTCGTGGCCAATTGTAAAATAAATAAATAAAACATAAAACTCACATGTGAGAGGCCCAGCAGCGGTGACTCTCGGAACGCCCCCAAGCCAGGTTCTATTTTGTGTTGTTCCATTTTTCCTTCGGTTTTCCCCAACCCGCCTGATTTCCCGCATTTCCCATTGAGTATGCATACACGCAAGGACCTGACCAGTTGACCAGTTGAGCAGCTGAGCAGGTGCAGTTGTCAGTCAGTTCAGACGTCGTTGAACTTGCCAGGACAACGGTTTAGCCCAGCGCTTCAGTTTTTGAATTTTCATTTAAGGATTTTCCATTCTAAAAAGGATTTTCCAGTGCCAAGTGAACAAAGCTAACACATGAATCGCGACTGGGGGGATGTGCAGAGTCGCGGACTCTAAGAGTTTCCCCGAAAATAAAAAACAAAAAAAAATATATCAAGGCAAAAAAGAAGGAATAGCGATGCCGCCGAAACGCCGAAGAAGGTTCCAGGGACTCTACTACCATTCATCGCCGCCAAAAGGTGAGTGATACATATTCATATTCATATATTCATTCATCCTAATTGAGGGAAATTGTGGTGACAACACGCCAAGGGAAAAGCTATAAGGGTTTCCCCCTTTTTTTTATGTATTTTGTTGGCCAAAATTTGCATATTGCGTGCCGTTAAGGGTGTCAGCTCAACAAGTTACAATATGAGGGGAGTCGGAGTCGTGGTGCGATTGCCACATTAAGTGGCAAACACTAATGCGCCATTTCCGTGGCAATTTCGAGCGCTTTTTATTGCCACTCAATCGTCGTGTGTGTGAGTTTGAGTGTGTGTTATGGAATGGAAATTTAATGATTCACCTCGGCCACCTAATTTACATGTCACTACCTCAACTGCTTTCGTCCTGCGGCGGCCAGTAAGTATGTCCTGCCAGCACAAATTCCTCGAGGTGTGAGGCCCAAGAATAGCTGGGGTGAAGACCTTGACACATAAGGTAGGTGGGGGTGTCAAAAGGTTCAAGAAAAAAGAGCAAATGGGAACTATTTCCATATGTCACAAGGGAATTTGCCTAGGAGAAGTTCAGGTGATAGGTTGTATACCTAAGCTGGAGTATTGCAAGTATGCTGGTAATGGGAATTCTAGTTACCTATTTCTAGATGTCAGAAGGAATTCTCAGTGGCGGAAGACCTAAGGATAATTTCCTTCTACGAAGTTGGAGTTTTTCATGGAGAACCCTAAAACACATCTAGATAATTTAAAGGAATTTAGGGAGAATAGTTCTAACTAAGAATTTCTTTTTAAAGGAAAATATATTCTTTGGACAGAACAAGTTTAGTTTCAAGTACAATAATACAGCGAGGTTCTTCGCTATTATGCTTTTTATTATTATAACTTCCTCATTGTCAAAATAAATCAAGAATTATTTAATTTTTAAATTTAATGTGCTTATTAAATAAAATAAAATAGAAAGTAGCACAGTAAAGCTTTCAGAATGATAAATTTTGGTTTTGGCTTATTTATGATCGATTTCAAAATAGGTTTTCTGAGACAATTACAAACTGGGAGGTATTCAAGCTTCGGCTTAGTAGTAGTCTTTTTTATGGCTTAACTATAATATTTCTATGAATATTATTAATCTTTTTTCAACGTATTACTTACATTTTAATTCTGTTAAGGCGTTGTAATATTTATATAAAATTAAGCCCCAAGAATTACTATTTCTCAATTTATTACTTACATAGAAACCAGCTCATGATCGTGGAAAATAAGTTTATTTCTTCCGCACAGTAAAATAATTCAACTATTCAAAAGTAAAACCTAAAAGTGTGCTATAAAAATACCTTAAAAATGCTTCCCCGCGGAATGGTAATCAACTTCGAAATCAGCCAAATGGAAATTCTATTTCCACATATTTGTTTTGGCTAGAAGCTCTAATGAAAACGTTGACTTTCGGCTTTATATAACACACACCGGCACATACATCCACACTCCTGGGGGTTATTTATTCATGTCAGAAGTTGGAAGACCGCGAACAGGACGCAATTATTCCCTCTGCCCTCTGTAGGTCTCCTTTGCTGCTTTCTGACCACAACACAGACCCGAATTCAACACCTTTCGATTTCGACCTGGCCAAGAATTAGTTTGCCAACGCGGCTCAAGCTGGCCAGACGCAAGAACAACAGGCATTAGGAAACGAAATTGTGACAGAGCAAAGCAATCGGGGAAAGTGAGTTGGCTGCAAGCAGGCGAAGATTTTACTAGCTCTGGGAAACTGTCACAAAATCACAACTCACAACTCCATATTTATTCGCAAACTCTATATAACTATATATATTTCTGTAAGCCCCAAAACCCGATTATATTGCAGTCATGCCGATGAATGGACAGGCAGGCGGACAAAATGGACGCAAGCGTCGCGATAATGAAGGTGCGTATTACAAAATTCGGAATGGGACGGCAGCCGGCTGCAGTTCCTCCGCCAACCATACCCGTTCCAGCTGTTTGTTTTCCAAATGCTGCACTAAATGATTCAGTAGTGGGCGGTGGCAACTTTTTAGCCTTCTGTGGATAAAAGTTTAAGGCCTTCGTCGACCTTGAAGCATTTCAAGTTGGCAAAAAAAAGAAAGTTTCGCCGGCGGAAATTGTCTCAAGTTTCCACTAATGCCACTTTAAGCGAGAGGGCCCGAAGTCACAGAACTTGAACATTCATTGCATTTATTTTCGTTTTAATTTAGTTTTCAGTTCTTGGGCTTCTTGGGGCTCCTTTGGCTTCACTTTCCTTTTTTCGGCAAATTGCATGCAGACACGAACGAGGGCGCGAATGAAATGGAAATCGCAATAAGTTTAGGGATTGAAATCGAGAAGGGCACTGGGGGAATCGGTGCTGGGATCAGGGGCGGGGCCGGCTCGAAATTAATTTGCACATTTTCAATTTCCCATTTTGTCGGCTAATAGATTTCTCGGTGAAGCTATCCACCATTCGGATCTGGATGCACGAGAAGGACATCGGCAAGCTCACTCGCATTTTGTGGGCGGGCCAAGGGAATCGCCTCAGCCAGCAGGCCAGCAACAATGGGCGGGTGAAGCGCTTCCTGGCCGCCGTTCCCCATGTCATGGTAAGGAAAAACCCCTTTATCCCAACCCCCGGCGGGAGGAAGTTTCATTTTACCCCCACCCAATCGTAGAATGCCATCAAGGATCTGCATCAGGCTGTCATAGATAACAATCTGGAGAATGTGCAGTCGCTTTTGGAGCCACCGGTGCCTAGTGCCTTGGTCACCTGCAAGGATGGCAACGGCCTCAATGTGATTCACAAGGCCGCTGGCCTGGGACACACCAAGATCCTGGAGTATCTGGTGGGCATTTGGCCGGAGGGTGCCCACGAGACGGACATCACAGGCAAGACATCGCTCCACTGGGCCGCCAGTGCCAAGAACAACATGCGATGCTACACCCTGCTCACCCAAGCGGGTTGCGATGAGGAGGCCGTGGACTATGTGAGTGGGGGAGTCTCTAGAGAATATTTTTGGGTTTGAGTATCAGTATCTCTATCCTTTATGACCGACCTTGGTCAAGCTCAGAAGCCTTGACCACCTTCTTGGAAGGCATATGTTAGTGCAAGTAATAATACACCTTATCTATTATTAAGGCATAGCTAGCTGACCTCTAAATACATATTTACACATAACAAATAACCTTCTTGGTCAAAAACCTACTATTAGCCCTTTTTGTTTGGGGTTTTTGAGGAAGCCAAGGATATCTCTTACTTTACCTTATTAGATAGAGTTTTTAGTAGCTCCTCTTGCCCTCGAATCGATGGGGAATAAGTGTTCTTGGACGGCAATTAAAATGATTCATTGCGGCAATTTCAGAAAATGAAGACACCTTCATACTATCGCCACAAGCCGCACGAAATCGAGCGGGCCTTCCTGGTTTATGTGCCGGATGCGCCGCGTGTCTCACCCGACAGCGTCACCGATTGGGAGGCCTTGAGTGATGAGGCTGGCGGTGACAGTGTCGCGGGCGGGGATTCCAGCTCCAAGGTGACTATACGATTGGGTTTGGGGACTCCCCCAACTTAATTGCTGGCACTTATATTCTCCCCCAGAAACTGGACATGAAGGCGGCGCCGATGGGGAATGGTCGCAAATCGCTGGACGACAGCCTTGAGAACACCTCGGAGCTGGACACCAACGATGGGTAAGTTGGGGAGAAGCTTCATGGGTCTTAGACCCGAGGCTTGGCTTAAGTTTGGCTGCCGCCTGCGCTTCTGCCTCTTTTTTTGAGTTGTATGTGTGTCTCTCGGTGGTGTTTTGTTTATTTTTTGTTTTGGGTGGCATGGCTTTTTGAGAGAGAATCTTTTGCATTTTGAAATCGCAGTACGAGTGCCAATGAGGATGACGATCTGTCCAAGGCGGATGCAGAGCCGGAAGTGGAGGCCATTGCTTCGCCATTGCAGCGCCGACCGGAAACGCCGGGCACCTTCAACACGATCAATGGCAACGGCAATGGCGATCACGATGGCGATGACAGCAGCGAGGCGGAGGTAAGTCGTGCTGCCTTTTTGCTCAATTACCCACCTCCTTCCCTCCCCCCCCAAAACTTTCTTTTCGCTTTCGATGGTTTAGCTTTGGCTTGCTTGCACTCTTCCGTAGGAGGCTTTCGGTGTTTTGCATAAATTAATGAATTAATTAAATAATTAAATAGCTTTTTCGGTGGGCTGGAGACTCTGTGAAAGTAAGCCATTGTCGGCTCTCGCTTTTCCCCCCTATCTCTCTAACTCTCTCTCGCTCGGCACTGTGCGCTTTTTGTTTAGAAATCCTTTCTACCCTGCTGTATATAGGCTGAGATCGAAGGAACGTAGAAAGAAACTGTTGAAACACTTTTGGAAAGCAATCAGTCGACAATTGTTTACTTTTACAGAATATTGCAAGAGCTATAAGCGCAGACGAAGGCGAAGGCGAAGTGGCTGAGGAGAACGGAGGCGAAGATGCAGCGATCCTGGAGAATGGCAATGGTCACGAGGCGGAAGTGGAGCAGAATAAGGAGGAGTCTCAGGCAGAGGAGGATGAGTTGCCAACTGAAGAGCAACCCGAAGAGTCGGCTACAGAGAGTGAGATAGAAGGAAACAAAAAGACTGAAGTTGAACAGGAACCGGAAGTGGAGCTAGAAGAGGCTGCTCAGGAGAAGCCTGCGGAGGATCAGGATGAGGAGGAACCCGAGGAACCCGAGGAACCAGAGGACGTGGCTATCGAAAGTAATGATGTGGAGACCCAAAACGAGGACGATAAAGAAAATGAAAACGATAACGAGAACGTTGATGACGACGATGAGGTACAGATGGGCGTGCTTTAAGTGTCCTCGAGCCGTGTTTTGTAGTTTTGTTCACGTTTTATATGTGCCGTACGCTCAAACCCATTTTATCCCCTCGTCAATGTGAACCTGTACCATGAGAAACTAATTAAATGAAAAAACCTTCAAAACCAAACGCAAAACCTATATATATATATATCTCAATGTCAATCAGCTGCAGCCGCAGGCACCCAAAAATTCCATTCATATCAATTTGTTTAAACACTGCAAGAGCCACAGCAAAGATCAACTAACTTCAGCCGCAACGAAACTTTAGCAATCAACTTCAACTTCAAGCAAAAAGCCCGCAACTAGTCAAATCCTGCGTATATATATATATATAGATTTATATTTTGTAAAGCAAGTGTGTTACATATTCTGCTCTGAAATATCTATATAGCCGTAGCAATTATAGTAACCAATTAAAAAATGGAATGCAAAACCTGTGCAACCTGTGTCTCTCTCTCTCTCTCTCTTGCTTATCGTTTTTTATATTCTATTGCACCCCGGAATCCGTATGTTTTCTTATCCATATCCGCATCCGTTTCCGTATCCGTTTCCGTATCCTTTTCCCTTTCAGTTTCAGTTCTCAGTGTGTGTGTTTGTATTATTATTATTGCTGTTTTAGATCGAACCAATGCCAGTGTCTGCCCCCAATTTGTGTTTATCGATTGGCTTAAATCAGCAGCTGTTTACCCGCAGATAGGCTTTATAATAATGCACTCCGACCGGCATATATTTTCACTTTCCCTCTGGTCTCTGACATTTCCAACTGGGACAAAGCGACGGCAGCGGAGCCTGAGGTCGAGTCGGGTTCGGAGCTCGGTCCTCAACTGTCAGTCGGCGGCATCCAGTTGTCGGTGGATGCGAATGGGAACTGAACATGCAAACGTCAGAAAACAGTTGCAGGCATTAGATATGTGATATTTGATATATATATATATATGAAGTAGGCAAAGTCTGCTGCAGTCCCTCGAGCGATTTGTTAGCGATAATCGAGTGCAGTGCCTGGTGGGCGGTGTTCTTTTTTATGGCAGTTGCACCAACCATTTCCCAGGCGTATGCGTAATATCGCTCACACGCCACGTGGGCCATCAAACAAGTTAATTGCCTAGAGTCCTTGACAGAACCAACAATTACAGAAGATGTATGGCTATTTTCCCATTACATTAAGTTAACTCATTTAGTAACCTGTAACAGCAGAGCCTGGCATTGTCACCTGTAGCTGCACCTATATAGTTCCCTTGTAAAAATTAATCTTTTATCCTATTTCATATATCTATGTATGTGTCTCTGCACCCTGTAGCCATGTGTCCGGCGCACTGTCCCATCATTAAAGCCATAATTGTTAAGCGTTGCAATAAATCCATACAGGATGTAATAGCTTCGGACAGCAAGGAGGGCAAACCGCTGGCGGAGGGAGGAGCAGCCGAGCCGCAGGAGGAGGATGGCAGTGAGTCCCTGACATCAGCCATGGCCATCGAGGGCTTCGTCCAGGGAGCACCCGAGGATTATACAGTTCAGTCTCAAACTGCAGTTGATGAAGTATACAATTTTCTATCTGTCACATCACCCTGTCTCTCTCTCTATCTCTCTGTTGCTGGCTCACCTGGCTTGATTTTGATTTTCGCACCTCAATTAACTCACTAATTAATGCAGACCATTGAATTTAATGATGATAATAAAATCACCCTTAATGCTTTCAATGATGCACTCGAAAGTCACGTCTATGTGTGTGTCCACATCCTGTCCTCTCATTGGAGATGTTTTGCTTTAATATCTTCCGCAGGATACACGCATCCAGGGGATCGTCGAGTCCGGCGACCTGGAGCAGCTGGCCGAGATCGTGTTGAACGGCGATGGGGGGCGCCTGATGGGGCTGAAGTCGCCGGAGCCGGAAATACAGGCCTTTCTCAACAACGTGCCCAGCTATATGGTGAGTGAACCACAAGCCAGGAAGGAAGTAGGGAAGGAAGAGCCACTTTCTGGCCCACTAATTATGGCATGCATCATACATACATTTCCCGTTCGACAGGAGAAAATCCATCGCGTGCACGACGCGGCACGTGACGGCGGCCTGCTGGCACTGCAGCAGGCACTGGATCGCCGGAAGTTTGCCATTGCAAAGGACGACATATCGCCCAACGGCTCCACGGCCCTGCACGTGGCCGTGCTCTTTGGCCACACGGGTAAGGTGTTGGCACTGCCTCTGGATTTCTATATTTATATATGATGATTGCCCTTCCGCAGACATCGTTCGGTACTTGGCCTCCCGTTTCCCGGAGACCATGACGATTACGGATAATGACGGACGCACGCCGCTTCATTACGCAGCCACAATTAAGGACAACGGTCACTTCTACCACATGCTTCTGCAAATGGGCGCCAATCCCAAATCGCTGGACAAGGTAAGTGGAGCAAGCAATTTTCCAGCAGGTGAATAAAAAATCGGGAGAAGGCTGGAGTAATTTAAAGGGACCATAGAATGTCTGAGACTAAGTGAGGCTTAATTTTAGGTTTTATTATTATTATTATGTACTATTTGTTATTTAATTATATATATTTTTATTTTTTCAAACATTTAAATATTTGAATTTGAGCGTTTGTAGCAGAAAATAACAATTAAATTAAATATAAATTCTCCTGACATATATTTTTATTATAACAATTTTTTTTCCCAGTGCCTGCAATTATTAATTTTCTAAATTTCCCAATTTAAGTCAAATAATAGTACAAGAAGACATTGTCTTATAAATAAAATAGAAGGCATCCATTCAAGAATTGAAGCTTCCCGTACCTTTAGTTGTTTTGGGAAATTAGCCAGTTGTTTCAGCATTTTAAATGACAAAACGAAAATTGTTTTTAAATTACTCACTAAACCCAAACCCGCCCTCCAATGTGGGCCAAGGCTCCGCTGGCCGCTGGCCACTGCCAGCAGTCTTGACTTTCAAATGTCTATTGCAACTACTGATGGGAATCGATAGGCCATAAATATGTGATTAGACAGAAATGAATAAAAATAACAAGATATTTAAAATTCAATAACCAAACACACGCAGCTGGGCCACTCGGCCGAGTTTTACCTGGACAGGGACAAGGCGAAAAACATACTCAACTACACCGAGCTGCTCAACATTTTCGGGGCCGAGGAACTGGAGAACCAGTTGCTCAACGACCAGGGTAAGGGGCGTGAGGCCACCTGCAGCTGTTCCAGCTTGACCGCTTCGCCCAAGCCATCCATCCATCAATCCATTCAACCCCCATTGGTCACCTATCCTATCCAAACCCTCCATTCGGGACACCCGATCCAAGCTTTAGTGGCGTTTTTGTTTTCACACTCGCTTTCGCTGGCCACCACACACGACAGCGACGAACCCACACACGCGTGCCGAAGGTAAACCGAAATAATTAAGTACATTTGTTTGCCAAGTCAAACACATCCGGAAGGGGGCGGGGTCGCTCTAGGGCTAGACAAAACTCCGCTCTATGCCGTCGAGGGCCAGTTGAACTCAGTCAGTCATCGATTTTCGGTCGCACCGTGCAGCACACGTTCTACTCGTCGTATACGTGATTCGGCTTCAAGTCCAGCACTGCGTATACGCGATTGGTTGTCCGGAAAAAACAAAAGTAAAAATAAAAACAAAAACAGAAGAAAAATGGAGGGAAATCGCAATGAATTTTTCAATGAAATCATTGGCAATATCGATGACATATTCGGTACGTAAGCTGCACATTTCCCGGCCAAGCACCTGCGCCTTTTTCTTGAGCACCACCAGCACCAGACATCCTTGAATCCTCTCATCCGTTTCTGTGTCATTTGGGGTCGGTGTTTTGTATCTGTATCCTTGTCAACGCTTTGGTGTGTCTATGCCTGTTGTGTGTGCATAAACTGATAATCCAAACTCGAAAATTGCCAACCAAATGCTGCTCCGGAATGCAGTTCCCGACGACCTGCACAGTGCTCGACGGGAGCTGCAGGATGGCGAGATATCCAGGACCTTGGAGCGTTGCTACAGCGTCATTTCGGAGTCAGGCAAGCTGCTGAGTGGCACCACGGCCTCGGCTTTGGCCCACCGGAAGCCGCTGAGTGCCTCCTCGCTGCAGCTGTCGGTGACCAGCTACCTGAGCCGCTTCCTCAAACGCGGTGTCTATGAGAAGATCAAGCGTCGCCAGACCCGACTCGATCACAATCTCTTCGATGTCCTGTGGCCCGCCATGCGGAAAACATCAAAGGCTCGCCATTTGGAGGAGGATATTAACTGCGGGATTATAGCACCTGATTTCGATGTGTTTGTGGTGTTCCAGGAGTTCCTGGTGCCGCTGCTAAAGGATATGCATTGCTTGAGCATCGATGCTGACTTTAAGCCCCAGCCTCGACTGGCTTACTTTCCAATGGACAATGGCGAGAGGCTCAACACGGCGGCTTTTGTGTTCGACGACGAGTCCCTGCTGGTTACCCGCTGTCTAGTGGAGGCCTCGAGGAATTTGGATCAACTGGAGCTGCCGTTGAACCTAACAATTGGCCAGCTAGAGCAGGCGGAACGCCTGATGATGGGCAAGATATTCACGACGAACTTTGCTGATGCCATAGGAGAATCGGACTCGGGGAACTACTATACCTTGACCGAGCTCCTGGAGACCGACTCGGAGGTGGCCATGATGCTGAGCAGCCTGGGCCTGATGATTCCCCTGCTGGACACCAAGGATCTGGTGCAGGCTGCCGAGTCCACGGCTTTCAATGGAGCCCTGTGGCCCTATGGCCGGGGAGTATTCGTTAATTCGGCCCACAACTTGGCCGTTTGGCTGAATTGCCAGGAACACTTAAGGGTGATCTCCACCACCAGCAGCAAGGATCCCGCGGACATGGGAGCTGCCTACACGAGAGTGGGCCGTGCCATAAGCTATTTGGAGACGCAGCTGCACTTCAAGGAGAGCTACCTGCTGGGGTATCTGCAGTCGAGGCCCAGCTACTTGGGCACCGGCCTCAAGATGACCGCCATTGTGAAGCTGCCGAATCTGATGAAGGAGATGGACAACCTGCGGCACCTGTGCTCCGTCCGAGGATTGAGCATGGTAACCAACCGCCTCTCGAAGCTCACCGTGCGCCTTGTAAATATGCAGAGCATGGGCGTGGTGGAGTACGTGCTGTTCCAGGACTACTGCACGGCAGTCACGAACATCCTGTCGCTGGAGAAGGACATGTCGCTGACCAACTCCAAGCACATTGCCACCATGCTGGTAAAGATCTTCAGGCGCAAGAAGAACAGCATCGTGGACCGCAATTAGGAGCAGTTCCAACTCCCTGTACATACGAAAGCAACGCCCTCAGCCTCAAACCCCAAGCCATAAATATATATATATATATCCGTATGCTAAACTCAACTCGTGTCCTCATCTTAGTTCTCCTCCGCTCATGCTGCGCTTAAACTCAATCCGCAATCGTAAGTGCCGCTTTGAGTTACACCTACCTAGTCGTATCCATATCCGTAACCGTGTCCGTATGAGTGTCTTGTCCCCAGGACTGTGATCTCGTCACAATTTCAATATGATTTGCCAAGTCTCTTGAGTTCCACCGGCATCGGCATCCTCATCTTCGTTTGTTTACTCCTTACCCGACCCCGTCCTTCTCCCCTCTCAAGGAAACGCTTGTCCTCTCGCTTTGTGTACGTAGATTTCTGGGACTCGACCCATTGAGTGTGCCTCAAGTAATCCTCGCCTTCTGGAGTGACTAATGCAGCTTGTCTTCCTCGCAGGTCAGGCGCAGCCGGTGAGCTTTCAGGCCAATCCAATCTTCAAGACGGAGCAGGGCAAATACCTGGCTGATTGTAAGTATTTTTTGGCTACAAATCTCTTTCGCAAACTAATTCTTAATATTTCTTAGCTCTCGCTGATCCTCTAATCAAGGCTCTCACCGAAATAGCCAACAAGCGGCCCCGCGACCCGGTGGCCTACCTGACCAACTACCTCCAGCACTTCATGGGCGAGCGCAAGCCAATGACCGAGGTCCAGGTCCACTCGGGAAGCAGCAAGACCAGCACGAATTCCACCTCCACCCTGGCTATGGCCAAAGCGAACAGCACCAGAAATGGTCCTGGCCCAACCAATGCCGATCTCATAGAGCTGGACGCTCGCTCCTTCGTGGAGGAGGAGGATGCCGAGGGCGCCCTGGCAGTGCAGCACTTGGAAGAGCGGGATGAACATGGCCAGAGTATGCTGCACTTTGCCTGCGCCAGATCCCATCGAAGGGGAGCTCTCTACACGCTCATCGAGGAGTCGGGCATAGATATCACCTACCGAGATGAGCTTTATAGAACAGCAAGAGATGTCTCGCTGCAGGCCAATCAGCCCAACAATGCGGCGGAGATCGATCGCTATATCCTAGCTCAGGCTGTTATTGGTAAGCTTGTTTGCTTCTTCTTTGGGTCACCTTTTATTGGGTTCTTGATTCCCCAGGCGACGTGGAACCCTTTGAGCAACTCGCCTTGCAAGGCTACGATCACATCCTGGATGTGGAAGACGAAAGCGGTCAGTCTATTATTGATGTTGTTCAGTCCCGGCAGAACGATGCCCTCTCCGAGTTCCTAGGTAATCTGCGAGGCTTGGAGGAGACCCGCGAGGAACTGCATCAAATGATCAGAGACAACAATATGGAACGTGTGATGGAACTAACTGCTGTTGCCAATGCCAAGTGGTTGGTCAAGACCAAGAACTACTATGGTAGGAACATAGTTTTTATAGGAGACTTCCTGATGATAGCTAATCTTATTCTACAGGTCGAACCGCCCTGCACATAGCGGTGCTGAAGGAGTCAGAGGAAATGGTGCAGCATCTCGTAAAGATCTGCCCTGAGACTTTGAAGATCACCGATAATGTGAGTAGTAGGAATATTACTGATACCCCTGTGATCCAACTTATCCAGCTTATCCATACCATACCCGCCAGCTGGAACGTACTGTCCTGCACTATGCCATGGGCACCAATGCTCTGGAGAGCGTCAGCCGGATTCTGATACAAAACGGAGCCAAGCGAACGGCCAAGGATCTGAAGGGAAGGCAGCCAAGCTACTACTTTATCAACAAGGCGGACATACTGCGTCTGCAGGAGGAGGAGGAGGAGAGCCGCTGAGTGAAGCAAATAAATGTTAAGTCTAGAGTACTCTAAGTCGTTATATAGTCCAATAAAGTACAAGTATATAGAGAGGTATGCAGAGAGAGTGGGTTGTGGGCGATAAGCCGCTCGTGCCTGGCGCCCTGATTGATTCGACCACTTTCGCTATCAGCGGAGTGACTTCCCACACATGGACTCTCGAAAGGTTCTGGTTCTCGTTCTGGTTCTGGGTGTCTGGTGAAAGGGAATGGAAGTCAAAGTATGGGTTCCGGCGCAAGTTCTGGGCCAGCGATAAGATTAAGCCTCTTAAGCCCCTGGCGCTGATTAGCATGACTTTGATGGACAATTGCCGCCATGGAGAGCAACGGTGACGTCTTCAAAAGATTTAAGGCCGACCGAAGGGGCCTTTCCCTTTCCATCGCTATCGCATCCGGATTACAAGCGCCAGGAGGCGTTCGCAATCCTCTGACGCTATCACTTGTTCGCTTGTCCGTTCATAGTTATTGTTATCGGTTCGGCTTTAGCAGTACAGACGCTCAGTTTCATTGTTGGTTTTCCTTTCCTTATCGATATCGTGTTTGTTAAGTGCACTGATTTGGTGTCCATTAGGCGGGAATCACTTGAAACCTGACGTCTGGTCGGAGTACGATTAGCTCCACGGTTAAATGCGAGGTGTAAAGCGAGCTGGTTGCCAGTTAAGAGTTGAGTTTCATTCAGATCTCTAGCGCGTGCGGTGCGAATTATCAAGTGGTGCGGATATGACAGCGGAAACGAATACGGGTTAGTTGGAGATCCTTGAAGAAAAGGATAAGGAGTTCTTATACATTTTTGAGGAGGGAGATCCTTTTTTTTTAAATAATTCCGAAAGCAGCCAATACGCAAGTGAGGTTATCAGACTATAAACTATCTTTAAAATTGGATTTAAGTTGCTTCTAAAGAACTAAATAATTTTCATTCAAGAAAATATATAGAGGAAGCAACTTAATTATCAGCCTTTGGATAAAGATCACTTAAAATTATTCAAGTTTAAATAGGGGAATCCCTTTAGTGCCATACTCACAGGATATTTATTTTCGATTCAACAGGTCCCATGATTGGGCAGCGCCATCTGCAGGCTTTCCTGCTCTTCCTGTCCATTGTGGTCAACTACATGGCCAAGTTCAATGCTGGAGTGGCTGTGGTGGCCATGACGAATGCCGAGAGTACCAATCCGAACTTTCCAGTAAGTTCAAAGAGGATAAGTTTCCTTAAGTCCAAGTGGCTTATTACCTTCCTTTCTGCAGGAATACGATTGGAATGAAATGGAGCGCTCCTACATCCTGTCCAGCTTCTTTTGGGGCTACATACTGACTCAATTTCTAGGAGGCTGGCTGTGCAGGCGCTATGGAGCAAGGATTACCATGTTTGTGTCCACAATTGGTTCGGCTCTGTTGGCCCTGCTGCCGCCTTGGTGCGTATCCTGGGGCGGCTGGCAAGCTTATTGCGCCATCCGAATGGCAATGGGCTTATTCCAGGGCTTTCTTTTCCCCTGCATCCATGCCCATCTGGCCAACTGGTGTCCGGTAAATGAAAGGAATCGTCTAGGGGCTTTGGCCAACACAGGTATAGACTGCGGCACCCTGGTGGCCATGTTTGCCAGTGGACTGTTGGCTGCCTCCAGCATCGGTTGGCCCGGGATCTTCTATGTGTCGAGTGGCGTGGGCATCTTCTGGTGCATCATTTGGCTGATCTTTGGAGCCAATACGCCAAGGGAGTCAAAGCTGATCAGCGAAGCGGAACTCAACTACATTGAGACCTCGATCAACTCCAGCCGCAAGGCCGAAGAGGCGGAACAGAAGGCCAATGGACCCATCCCAGTGCCCTGGAAGGCCATCTGGACATCGGTTCCCTTCTGGGCTCTGATGATCACCAGGTGCTGCCAGTCATGGGGCTACTCGACCCTCCAGACCGAGATGCCCGCCTACATGAATGGTGTCCTGCTGATGGACATGAAGAGCAATGCCATCTACTCGGCCCTGCCCTACTTCACCTCCTGGATGATGGCCTTTGTCTACCTGATCATTGCCGATATCCTGCTGACCAGGGGCGTCATGTCCATCACTGGCATTCGCAAAACCGTAAACTCGATAGCGTTCTTTGTGCCTGCGATTGCCCTGATCGGCGTTAGCTTCCTGGACAGTGACCAGAAGACCCTGGCCGTGGTCCTTATGTGTGCCAATGTGGGAATCAATGCGGGCTCAACGATTGGCAGCACAATAAACACCATCGACTTGTCGCCGAATCATGCGGGAATACTCATGGGCATCATAAATACGGCGGCCAATGTGATACCCATTCTGACGCCCCTCCTCGTGGGGCTTATCGTCAAGGATGATGTGAGTTTAAAGTATTTTTATAACGAGCTTAAATTTAAATTTAATTCATATTTTTATTAATTATTATTAAATCCTTTCAGCACGATCGGACTCAATGGCAAATCGTATTCATCATTGCGGCCGTCATCTTCTTTGTGGGAAACATCATTTACCTGATCTTCGGTAAAATGGTTAATCAACCCTGGGATGCACCTGACTTTTTGGATAGCCAACGTTCACTCAATCTTCAGGAGCAAGGAGTAGGTGCCAAGGCTCTGGAGGCAAGGATAAGCGAAGAGTTGCAAGAAGCCAAGCGAAAAGAGAGTGAAGCCGGTCTGGAGAGCACGGAAGAGCATCTTTAGGGAGATGTAACTCGAAAATACCATTAAAATTAACTCACGGCTGGTCCGGGACTCTTTGTTTTACAAAAGTCTTTGTTAAAATAGTTGTAAGGTTATATATGTAAGTCTAATCTTTTCCCAATGAATAATCTAAGATGTAAATAAATTAGGAAATATCAACTGATTACACTGCGGCCTTGTCATTGAATTAAGTTTCGGCAAAAGTTCTACAAACAACTTGTATTATCAGAAAACACTGATTACTAAAAGAGGTTGTGGGTGTACTTACTGATCGTAAATAAGCGAAGAATTGACGTCTGTGACAGTTGAAACTAAGATCGATGGTTCTTTCAATTAAATTGACATGTGTTTCCAAGACTACAAATTGAAAATCGATAAGAAAAGAAGGTTGTAACAAGTTCTGTTGGGATAAAAAAATCACATAGTGTTTGTGTTGCATGGGTTTTCCTCAGATTTTGAACTTTGAGTTGTTTCAGGAGGCTTCTCGCCATCTGCCGAGATATCAGCGAATCTTTCCTATGAAGATCGCTTTACTCTTATGATTACCATAGGTCAGTTTTTAAGAAAAGATGTTAGATTATTTATGGAATCATAATACATATTTGTATTACTAGTTCTAATCAGTTATATGGTTTTATTTGCGCATTAGATTAGCTATTCGTGGAATAACCAAAATGGTATTTCTGTTTTATGATCCTAATCGCGTGCCAGGCTCTCTTAAACCATGACACGATCTCTTAGTGTTGGCACACACGCGTTGAAACCTTATCATTATAGGATAATCTAACCGATTAGTTAAATGTTGCTTATCAGCTCGTACGATTGAAATCGAGGCAGGGTGTGGTGTTACCACAGTTCATTGGGGTTCAATTAGTGCACAAACTCGGACGTTGTAGGATTCATTTTGAAAAGAAAAAGAAAAAAACCTTCAAAGGATGACTACCGAAATAAATAAAGGTAAGGGATATAGTTGGAGACTTAAAGCTTCCCATACTAAGCGTGAAAAGTGAAAGTCGTAGCGTAACAACTAGAAAATATCAGAAGATCCTTAAGGCTAATATCAGATAAATATTATTTTCTCGTAGAAGTATGCGAAGTGTAAGGTAATTGTGTACAATTTGTAGTTAGAAACTTTGTGCCAAATAAATTTGAATAAAGGAATTTAATAAAATGTTCTTGAAAACAAACAATAAAACAATAAAAATCCCAAACGTACTATACAGGTAATTAGAACCTCTATCCAAATATCCTTGCAAACACAAGTGAAGTGTAACGAAAATATAAATAAAAATTAACTGAAAACTCTCTGCCATATTTATAATGGACTTTAATCCATCGCACTCGGTGTATTCGGCCCATAAACTTGACATACTTTTCGGGGTCTGTTCACAGCTGACTGATAAACCCCACACATCCACCCATGTGACGCTCGAAAGGGCTATAAATCGTTCAGGTGTCGGAATGTTGGAGTTGCGATAACACAACGTTTCAAGTGCTTTTCAGATTTTTCTGCTGAAAATTATAGTATTTCCCTTATTGATTCCAGGTCCTGTACTAGGAATGCGACATGTTCAGACCCTACTGATTTTCCTGAACATCACCTGCTTGTATATAGGACGCCTCAATGTGGGCGTGTCTGTGGTGGCCATGACCAATGCAGAGTCCACGAATCCGGATTTTCCAGTAAAATATATACAATCACCAAATGTTTGTATTTTTAAAAACCTTTTTTTTAACAGGAATACGATTGGACAAACTCACAAAAGTCCTACATCCTGTCCAGCTTCTTCTGGGGCTACATCTTCACCCAGTTCCTGGGCGGCTATCTCTGCAAGCGCTATGGCGTGAAGAGTGTCATGTTCTGGGGATCATTCTGCTCCGGCGTCTTCAGTGCCCTGACGCCTCTCTTTATCAGCTTTGGCGGATGGCAGGCTTACTGCGGTATCCGTGTGCTGATGGGCTTCGCTCAGGGATTGTTATTTCCCTGCATCCACCAGCATCTGGCCAGATGGTCACCTCCCAAGGAGAGGAATCGCTTGGGAGCTCTCAGCCATACGGGCATCGAGTGTGGCAATGTGTGTGCCATGTTCTTGAGTGGAATGATCGCCAAGAGCTCCATAGGTTGGCCTGGAATCTCTTATGTCTCCGCGGGAGTGGCCTTTGGCTGGTGTGCCCTCTGGTTCGTTTTTTCGGCTAACAATGCAGTAGAGTCTCGCTTTATAAGTGAGGAAGAGCTGCACTATATCGAATCCTCGCTGAAACACAACGAGGACTACCATAAGACTATCATACCCATTCCCTGGAAGGCTATTTTGACCTCAGCTCCGTTCCTGGCCCTCCTGGTGGCACGTTGTTGCGAGTCCTGGGGTCTCAGCACATTGCAGGCAGAGATTCCTTCATACATGAACGGTGTCCTGGATATGGACATGAAGAGCAATGCCTTCTTCTCCGCTCTGCCCTTCCTGGCCATGTGGATCATGTCATATGTTTACCTAATCAGCGCCGATCTTCTGCTTTCTGGAAACAAACTCAGTTTGACGGCCTTGAGGAAGACCTTTAACTCGCTGGCCTTCTGGGTTCCCTGTGCCACGCTGATAGGCATAGGATTCGTGGACCAGGAGCAGAAGAACGTGGCCATTGTCCTCATGACCATCAGTGTGGGGATGAATAGTGGTGCCACCATAGGCACCTCCCTGAACACCATCGATCTGTCGCCAAACCATGCCAGCATCCTGATGGGCATCGTTAACACAGCTGCCAATGTAGTGCCCATAGTTACTCCTTTGGTGGTTGGTTTAATCGTCGAAGATGATGTGAGTTTTAATGGATTTATTTATTATATAATTGTTTATAACGCATTTTTCTTTCAGAGTAATCGTTCAGAGTGGCAGATTGTGTTTATTATTGCTGCTGTCCTCTTCTTTCTGGGCAACTGCATCTTTTTGGTCTTTGGAACGGCTGTCTCTCAGCCTTGGGATGCGGAGGATTATCTTCAGTTAAAGGAACCTGAAGTAGGAAAAGGAGCAGCTCGGAAGGAGGTGACCCAAGCAGTTCCTGCTTTGGAAGTCAATGATAAAATTAAAGACACTTCGGATTCCTTGGATAGATAATAAGGGCTAAGAAAACTATTTAAATTAATATTATAATAAGGAAACTCTATAGTCTATAGTTTAATATTTGTGGAAAATGTAATAAATTTATGTGAGTTATATATATATCTGGTTACCATCATAGACAGCATCTGTATTTTGTAGATTAATGTTCATATTCTTCTCTGTAACTTTTAACTTACTTACTTTTTAAATACAAATTTATTTAATCAGTTCACCAGAGATGTTCCTTTTTCTTTTCTTTAAAATACATTCTGTTCTTAGCCACCAAAAAGTAGGCAATAATTATAAACTGACTCGAAAATATACATACATATCACATACATTCGTTTCACCTTGTTTAAAATTATCTAAGATAAGTCAGGTACTACAAAATAATTAATAACTTTGTATTAGTTATTGCCTTGAACTTGAAATCATATAATTATAAATCCAAACAAGAAAAACTCATGAATGAAATAATTAAAATTTTCATCAATTCCGTGGTCTCTTCCAGCGTACAAATTCGTCCCCCATTTGACCTTATCACCTGATAAGGAAAAATTGGCTTATCAATTGATTCGATTCGGATTTAAATGAAAACCAAGCTAATCCATTCATTCAATTTAATTCCCACCGTGAAAGAGACCGGTTGCAAGCTGAGCGGAATCTATGATGACTGCCGAAACCAGTAAAGGTAGGAAGATAAAAACAGTCCTTCGACTGGGATCAGATTTTGAGATTAAAAAGGGTTTCCCACGAACTTGACACACTTTGGCTGTGCCCTTTTGCAGTCAGACCTTGCCCGCAGCCAGATAAGACCATTCTCGTTATTCGCACGCCCATCGAGTGCTCGTAAATCACTCAAATTATGGCCGCGATAACGGTGTCTCAAGAGCCATTCAGATTTATTTGGCCATGTTATTTGCCGACAGGAAGTAGTATCCGTGATAATAACAACTGTGTTCCCTCCTGTGCGTGTTTTTAGGACCCGCTGTGGGCATGCGACATGTCCAGGCCCTACTGATCTTCCTCAACATAACGATCATGTTCATCGGACGCCTGAATGTGGGCGTGTCCGTGGTGGCCTTGACCAATGCAGAGTCCACGAATCCGGATTTTCCCGTAAGAGATACGATTCTGGAAGCGGAATTTCATTCTTTAATCTGTGTATCTTTATAGGAATACAACTGGACGGAGGCAGAGAAGTCCTACATCCTGTCCAGCTTCTTCTGGGGCTACATCTTCACCCAGTTCCTGGGCGGCTATCTCTGCAAGCGCTATGGCGTGAAGAGCGTCATGTTCTGGGGAGTCTTTGGATCCGGTGTCTGCAGCACTTTAACTCCTCTCTTCATTGGCTTTGGAGAATGGCAGGCCTACTGTGGCATTCGAGTGATAATGGGACTGGCCCAGGGAGTGGTGTTCCCCTGCATCCACCAGCACCTGGCCAGATGGTCACCTCCCAAGGAGAGGAATCGCTTGGGTGCTCTCAGTCACACGGGAATCGAGTGTGGCAACGTGAGTGCCATGTTTCTCAGCGGAATGATTGCCAAAAGCTCCATTGGCTGGCCAGGAGTCCAGTATGTCTCTGCAGGCCTAGCCTTCTTCTGGTGCGCCGTTTGGTTCGTATTTGCGGCCAACAATCCCACAGAATCTCGCTTTATTGGCGAACGGGAACTCGGCTATATCGAGTCGTCGCTGAAGCACAATGAGAAGTATCACAAGACCATTATCCCCATTCCCTGGAAGGCCATTTGGACGTCTGCTCCATTCCTGGCCCTGCTGACAGCCCGATGCTGTGAGAACTGGGGGTTGAGCACGCTGCAGGCCGAGATTCCGTCGTACATGAACGGTGTCCTGGACATGGACATGAAGAGCAATGCTTTCTTTTCCGCTCTGCCCTTCCTGGCCATGTGGTGCATGTCGTACGTCTACTTGGTCACGGCTGAGGTTCTCTTGAACAAGAAGCTGGTTAGTCTGACTGTGCTAAGGAAGACCTACAACTCGATAGCCTTCTGGATTCCCTGCGCCACTTTGATTGGCATCGGATTCCTGGACAAGGAGCAAAAGAACTACGCAATAGCCCTCATGACCATCAGCGTGGGTGTGAATAGTGCTCAGACCATTGGCAGTGTCCTGAACACTATCGATCTATCGGCCAATCATGCCAGCATACTGATGGGCATTGTTAATACAGCTGCCAACTTTGTGCCCATAGCCACGCCTCTGGTTGTGGGTTGGATTGTGGAGGATAATGTAAGTTACCTTGGATTCTTAATATAGATTTATAATATCTATATATTCACCTTTTCGTTATCCTTAATTCCAGTCTGATCGCACTGAGTGGCAAATCATCTTTATTATCGCCGCCGTTGTCTTTTTTGTGGGCAACTGCGTCTATGTTATCTTCGGAACTGCTGTAATTCAGCCCTGGGATGCGGAGGACTACCTTCAGCTAAAGCAACCCGAACTGGCCAAGGAACCAGCGGTCACTGGGGCAGCCAAAGAACCCTCCTCTTTGAGTGTCGATGAAAAGCCAAAGCTAAAGTCCACAAGCAGATAGTAACAAACCCTTACAAGTCCAATTAGTTTATAGTTTTTGTTATGTAAATAAAGTACAAGTACTCTTTAATTTTTGATTAAGTTATCAAAAAAAAGTCTCTCGGATTACATGGTTATTGTTTGGCGATTTTATTGATTTATGAGATTTATATTAAAGTTATTAAGTTATTAAATTATAATACAAGAAATACAACGAGTAGCTTAAGTTTTGCTAAAGTTAGAAGTCCTTAAGGTTGTCGCACATTCATCTGGGCTGTAAATACTTCAAGATTGTAAAGTCTCAAGAGTGTTTTACCCGAAGGTTCGCTATAATAATATTGTAATGATTAGTTGGGACTAAAGGTTAGATTTTTGTAATAACGATTACGATTTAAATACACCCAAGATGGAGAGGGGTTCCTTGGTCTGGCCAGAGTTATGTATAACATATTTTATTCGTTTGACTTTTTGATTCTTTCTGGAAAAGTGATCTTTCTTTTAAAAGAATCAAATGGTCAAACAAATCATTTTATGTCTGCAACGCAGGATTTTTGATTTTGGTTTCCAATCAATGGGAAATCCATTCAAAGATTATTTGCCAAAAAAAAAAGAAACAAATAAACTTTGCTTTGGAATCCCTCGAAAAGATAATGAAAGCTCTAAGGCTAATCTAAAATCGAGACCCATTGGGCTTCCACTCACAACCTCACAAACCATTGAGTGGCCGAGGGGAATCACTCGAGCTGGAATCCGATCAACCAGAGATTAAGGTTTTCTTTAAATTAATAAAGCTCAATAAATTGATAGAAACAATATAAATACTCCGGCGGAATGGGTGGTGGCTCGACGGTCTAGGTACATTATCGATTAGTTTATTATTTATTTAACTGGTAGCATCGCTTATCAGCGCGTTCCATTGTTTCGGCCAGATTAGGGCCATAAAGAATCATATTCAAAAAATAAATAAAATTATACATTTATGACCGATGGACGGGACTTTAAGTGGTGAGTGAAGTGAAGTTAGCCTCTTTCCGCTTTCCGCTTAGAGCTTTCGACAGATGGGATCGGATTGGCTTGGATTTGTGTTCTGCACGACTTTCCTAAAGGCTTTGCGTTGACACTTGTGCCATAAATCTTTTGGGCAAATAAACACGTCTCCGGGCGGGTGTGTATTAAGTGGGTGTTTGTGTGTATTTTGCTTTTGTTTTTTAATAGCTACCAACTCTGTGTAAATCCATCAATATTTGCTGATATAGCCGACATATGCATATGCTTTCGCCCGACTTGCTACAATAGATCGGCTACGTCAGTCGGCCTCAGTTCTGGATCGAGGAGTGCGTCAAAGTCGCGGCGATCATCTCTCTCTCTTCTGGGGAGTCACCTGGGGCGGGTCCCCCGGGCAAACAATAGAGCCGGAATAATGAATGGCGGTGAATGATATCGCGTTGAGTGGCGGTCCTATCTCCCGAAGCTTTTCGGCCCTCGTATAAATGTTGGCAATACAATGGCGTTTGGGCTTAGAACCATTCTGCCAACCCAACAGTGCAGACCTCGCATAAAAAAAAAGAGCAAAGGTGCTCCTAGCCTAGAGCTTCCAGTGACAGAGTGTTAAAGTGCTCATCATGACCCACAAACCGTGCAAGGGCCCTCGCCTGGGCGTCCGTCACCTGCAATCGTTTCTGCTCTTCCTCGGACTCACCGTGATGCACATCGCCCGGCTGAACGTGAGCGTGGCCATTGTGGCCATGACCAATGCGGCCACCACGAATCCCAATTTTCCGGTGAGTTTCCAAAAAGATCCTTTAAAGCTTTTAGCAAATGCTGATGCGGCTGCTGACATCCGTTCCGCAGGAATTCGACTGGAATGAGAAGCACAAATCCTACATCCTCTCCAGCTTCTATTGGGGCTACATCCTGACCCTCTGTCCTGGCAGCTTCCTGTGCCGTCGCTACGGCGCCAAGGTGGTCTTGTTTGTGGCCTGCTTCGGCACCGCCGTCTTTAGCCTGATGACTCCCTGGTGCATTTCCTGGGGCGGATGGCAGGTGTTTTGCGCCATTCGCATAGTCCAGGGCTTGTTCCAAGGCGTAATATTCCCGTGCGTCACCGAGCACTTGGCCATGTGGTCACCGCCGGAGGAAAGGAATCGCCTGGGTGCCTTCAGCTACACGGGCACGGATTGCGGCACTGTGCTGGCCATGTTCATCAGTGGCATGATTGCCAAGGGAGCCATGGGCTGGCCCGGAATTTCCTATGTCTCTGGGTCACTCTGCGCCGCCTGGTGCTTCTTGTGGCTCATCTTTGCGGCCAATAATGCCACGGAATCGCGGTTCATTGGCGAGGAGGAGTGCAAGTACATTGAATCCTCGCTCGAGCATAACGAGGACTTCCACGAGCGAAGCATACCCATTCCGTGGAGGGCTATCTGGACCTCGGTGCCCTTCCTGGCGCTCCTGGTGGCTCGCTGCTCGGAAACCTACGGCCTGAGTACCCTGCAGGCGGAGATACCCTCGTACATGAACGGAGTCCTCAACATGGACATCCAGAGCAACGCCGTGTTCTCATCACTGCCCTTCCTGGCCATGTGGCTGCTATCCTATGTCTACCTCATAGCCGCCGATGTCCTGCTAAAGAAGAAGTTCCTGTCGCTGACCTCGGTGCGGAAGCTCTTCAACACCCTCTCCTTCTGGATCCCCGCTGGCTGTTTGATTGGTATCGGCTTCCTCAACGAGGACCACAAAAAGTTGGCCATCATCCTGATGACTGTGTCGGTGGGCATTAATAGCGGAGCCACCATTGGCAGCTCCCTGAACTCCATCGATCTGTCGCCGAATCATGCAGGCATTCTGATTGGATTGAGCAACACGGTGGCGAACGTTATTCCCATCCTCACACCACTGATTGCCGGAGTGATCGTGGCCGATAAGGTGAGTCAGCGTCAGCGTTGGGCCGAAAATAAGGGGAAATTCCGAAAGAGAGTTCCAACGAAAAACAAACCCTATCAATAAATATATTTCCCAATTGTTTACAGCACAATCGCGGCCAGTGGCAGATCGTCTTTGGACTGGCAGCCGTCATTTTCTTTATTGGCAACGTGGTCTTCGTCATCTGGGGCACAGCCAAGGCACAGCCCTGGGATGCGGACGACTATCTGAAGCCCAAGGATGCCGAGTCTGCGGCCAGCGAGAAGAAGAAGGAGAAGACACCACCGGCGGAGATAGCACCACCCATTGATCCGGTGCTGGAGCAGCAAATCACCTGGCCGGAGAGGTACACGGCACGGGTTATGGAGTGATTTGTGGCGGAAGTCCAGGGCACTTGGCGATCCGAACAATTGATTTTGTTTAATCAGTATTAACCATAAGTAGGCTGTAATTTATATTTATTCTATTTATAAGGCGTGATCGTAGCGCGGGTCTTAAGTAAATTATTTTCAATGGGATCGCTCGCTTTGTTCTGTTACCAATCGCTCGTGATTTCGGGCACTCCAATCGAGGAGGAACCCGATCCGCAGCCCGAACCCAATCGTCCAGTGTAATCTAATCTGTTAATTTATCTTTTAAATGTATATAAGTACGCATATTTATTTATTGGATTGGAACTCATGTGGCCAATTGTCAATTGCTGGAACTGGAGTTCGGGTTGAGTGAAGTGTTTTGCACTGCCTCGCCTCTCGATCTCTCTCTCGCTCTCGATGGGTTCAAAAACATTTGCCACAGCTGTTTGTGAATATATGAATATATGGAATTAAATTGTGATACTTGTGATAACTTAGAAATAAACTGTTGACTTGTTTCTCCGCTCTTTGTACTTTGCTCTATTTGCCTTGCCTGCTCGTGGCTAAAAGGGGTCTCTGCTTCTCTATGGTTAGTTGGGGTTACTCCGCTTAGGAGGCTCTGTCTTAGACCAGCCTCCTTTCTGATTGGGTAAGCTATTTACGTCTTATCTGTGCGTACTTTCAGCACCTGCTCGTGCCAGGTAAAGGTGTTATTTTAATTAAGATTTGGAATTAAGCATACCACTTAAAAAGCTTGCTTCTTAAGCTGACAGGTTTGTTAATTTAAACTATGAGATCATAGATTTATTTAGGGTTTTTCCCTAGTTCCTAAAGAATCGGTTTATCCTTATACTTTTCTATATTTTTTAAAATCTGCGCAGGATCAATCTTAGTGATTAAGATCTTTTCCATCAAGATCTCTGTCGCCGCCGGGCCTACTTTGAAATTGAGTAAGGTCTCCTGAACCTTATCTTATCGATGGCTAATTCAGTCATAATTATCGCTTAACGATCGCTTTGTCATTTGATAAAAAAAAAGCTGCCGACTCTAATGGCCGGAACCAAAGTGATTGTAATTAGCTCCCGCAATTGATATAGAGCGCCGGGCTGACTGCCGCTGTTATATTTACCTTTTGATAAGGAGAGAACCGTTTCTACCCGTCATTGTTATTGTTTGTATTTACTTTTCAGCTCAGTTCTGCTCAGTTCAGTGATCCACGAGTCATTGGATTATATGTAGTTTAGAGCAAGTAGTTCTCCATTGGCCTAGGGCTATCGTTAAGTCATTAAAATATCAATAATGACATAGAGAGTTTTTATTGCAGTTACTGCAGTTGATTATGCTATTCACATTCGTGTTTTTTTGCCTTAAAAGTAATACATTTTCTTACGACATAGTCAATATATAACTAAAAGTCGTTTCGGTTGTCTTGATCCAATTTAAGAGTATATAAACTTCAGTTTTCCGAAGTTTTCTTCCATTCTTGTTAGACTTAAAACTAGATTACATATTCTTAAAAGCGTTGCATGCCCCTTCCCGTTTCTTAGTTTTATCTGTGCGTCCTCTGGGCATCTCGTTTCACTTTCGATGTAGCCCCATCCAGATCCGATCTCCATCATCGGAGCATGTTTCCCTTGAATAGATAGGAATAGAACTTGGCGGCACGCGGCCAGAAATCAAGTTTCGGTGCAGCCTGTTTGCTATTTTGGCGGGCAAACTAGTTTCGCAGCATAGCGCAGTGGTTGCAGCTACTCACTCCGCCCATCTCTGGCCAGTTCGGTGATTCGAGGTGGTGGCACTAGACGCATGTTGTGCACGTCGCAATGACGATAACATCATTCAACTTGGTGGCCAAGGGTAAGCATTACCCAAAGTTCCCAGGTTCGCAGTCAGAGTCTTTTGTTTCCACAGATCCCAAATGGGGCATCCGGCACCTGCAAGTGCTGTTCCTCTTCCTCTGCTCCACTCTGACCGTGGCCCAGAGATTCAACATGAGCGTGGCGATCGTGGCCTTGACCAATGCCAATAGCAGTAACCCAAATTATCCCGAGTATCGGCTGACAGAGCAGCAAAAGTTCTACATTATCAGCAGTCCCTTCTGGGGCTCCTGCTGCACCCAGTTGATGAGCGGCTATCTGTCGAGTCGCTTTGGAGCCAAGATGCTGCTGCTGGGCATTATGTTCTTCACCTCCATAATCAGCATAGCCACACCCTTCGTCCTCGCCTGGGGCGGCTGGCAGCTGCTCTTCTGCGTGCGTCTCATCCAGGGACTGGTAATGGGCGGCATGTGGCCCTGCCTGTATACTCACCTGGCCAAGTGGTGTCCCAAGCGGGAGGCGAACCGATTGGGCGGCGTGATGACCACGGGCTTGGATTTTGGAACAGTAATGGGCTTTGCCTTGAGTGGCGTGCTCTCAGCCTCGTCGCTTGGCTGGCCAAGTGCCTTCTATGTACCAGGTTAGTGTCCACATAAGCTCAGAGGTCAAATAAGTAAATATATATCATTAACTTGAAGATTTTTGTTTAGTTCTCCTTAGTTATTTAACAATTTTCATCTCCAGGCTACATAGGCATGGCCTGGTGCCTCCTATGGCTGCGATACGGAGCCAACTGCCCCTCGGAATCCAGATTTATAAGCCTGGCAGAGCGCAAGTATATTGAGCTCGCCTTGGAGAAGAGCCAGGTTAATCATGGAGAGACCCCGCCAGTGCCTTGGCTGGAAATCCTCACATCTCGTCCCTTTATTGTGCTGGCCTTGGTGAAGATGAGCCAGGCCTGCAGTTTCTATACTCTGATGCAGCAGATCCCTCGCTATATCCACGGCATCTTCCGGTACAGCATTGCCGTGAATGCTTTGCTCTCAGCCCTGCCTTTTGTGATCATGCTGATGTCCTCCTATAGCTTTATTTTCCTGGCTGAATACTTGACACGACGCAAGGACATATCATTAGCCATACTGCGTAAAACCATCAATTCTTTTGCCACCTGGACCCCAGCTGTGGCCCTGGTGATCCTGTCCTATGTGGGCGAACGGAATGTGGTGGGCAGTCTGTGTTGCATGGTAGCAGCCACGGCTGCCATCTCTGGACAGGCCATTGGTAGTTCCCTCAACCATGTGGATCTGGCGCCAAATTTCGCTGGGCTTCTCTTTGGGATCAGCAACACTTTGATGTCGGCGGCTGGGGTTATATCACCCATAGTAATAGGTCTAGCGGTCACCAATGAGGTGGGTTAACCAAATGAGTAATAGAATAATAAAACTAATAATCTTGTATTATTTGCAGTCGGATCGCACACAATGGCGTGCGGTTTTTCTGGGCATCTCTGTGATCCTTTTCCTTGGCAACTTGATGTATGTAATCTTTGGTGAAATGACTGTCCAGCCTTGGAATGAGCCCCAAACCAAGTCAACTACAACTGAAGTGGCACCCAAGACAGCAGAAACACCTGTGAAGGCAATGGAGGAACCTGCACTTTACGTAGAAAGGTTTAACTATTTTTAAGAGTATATTTTTAATAACGTATTCAGTGCTTATGTTGTTGTATAAAGACAGATTAAAATCACAATGGTATATACTATGTCACGTGTCCCCGGACGTGTGGAATTCGCTGCGACCAAAGTTCGTGTCGCGCAGATAGTGAACCGGCGAATCGTTGATCAGGGACATCACGATGGGCTTGAGCCCCAAAATGGAAGCCAGCTTATACTTGAGGATCACCGATTTGATCAGTTCCACCAGCTGGGCCAGTGACTCCTCCTGTTTTGCATTTGTGGCATTACTCTGAGCGTGCAGCAGGTAACTGGTAAAGGAGTGGGAATACTTAGCTTTACAGGTGAGTGGAAAGTAAAGAACACTTACCCCTTAACTGCCTGTTCGATCACATCGTCGTTGATGCGCTGGTGACAGAGGTACTCCTGCAGATAGTTGCTTACTTGAAGGAGAACAAACTGAGACAAGAGGGCCTCGCTCCAGTTGACATCATAGTTATAGGCGCGGCTCAGGATAAGAGTTTGTGGGACACTGAAAAGAGAGTGTTTCAACAATTACAAATTACTAAATTATATGTAGATTGCTCACCTGAGATGCGTATTTACTAATTCCCGAAATTGCTCCCTCGTTCGTACCCCAATCACGCTTACACACAGCAGGTTGGCATTATTGTTGTGCCGCTTCTCCAAGGCCTTGTTGCAGAGATCCAGCTGCATGGCCATCAACTCCGCCCGAGACACACTCTGCTGGGCCAGGAGGAGCTTGTTGTCCAGCAAATAGTTCTCAGTGGCATGGGTGTAGTTCTCCAAAGCCTGCTGCAAGAGGGTCTGCACCTGCGCTGAGCATCTCAACTTATTGGACTGCTCGGCCATGCTCTGGATTTTGTTAACAATATCCTGGGCTTCCTCGGTCCACATCTCTGCCAGTTCCTTGTACATTAAAAAGTGCAGGGCTGCCAGGCGCAGTAGCTCCTTGCCATTCTGCGGTTGGTATTCCTTTATGTAGCTGAGGATGGCCTGTCGCAGTCCGCTCTTTTGGTCCTCATCGAACTGTCCCAGCAGCGACTCGAACTGCTCGTTATCAATCAGCGCATCGAAGCAGTAGAACATCTCCCGGTAGCGTGCTATCCCGATCAACATCCGGACAATCAGTGACCAGGATTTCGCCTTGGCCAGTTGCCCATTGAGTGCCTTCGCCTTCTGAAGCACACTCACGATTCCCTCCATGGAGCACTCGTGGACAAAGCACAGGTGAGCCTTAATCAACAGCTCCACGTAGATTTGATTTTGCTTTTTGTGGGACAAGACTTGGGGTATCCCGGTCATGGTTCCAGATGGCGGGGGAGTCGGCAGGCCATACTGTGTGATAATACCCGAGAGACGCTCAAAGGCTTCCGTTTCCTCGAACATCTGGCCATTCTGGTAGCGACGGTAGGCCTTCAAGGCATCACAGTACTCGAGCAGGCAATTACCCAAGATGGTGGTGTTGGGAGCAAGTTCTAGGAACAAGTGGAAATCCCGATCGATGCTGTGGCCCCAGAGGTCGGAGTTCCTCAAGGCATTCCTTGGCTGGTCTTTGGCATTGAAGATATAAAAGCGCGGACGGACGATGCAAGTGGTCAGCTCCAGGGCCAAACTCTCAGCAATCTCTTTTGGCGTCATCCTTGTAGATATCTGTATATCACTGACCACCAGCAGGCGCTGCAGGCAATCCTCTCCAGCGGCGCTTTTCAGCAAAACACCGGCATCCTTGGTTCGCAGCACATCCAAATACTCCTTGTCCAGATACATAGCCGCCCTGTAGGCCAGCACAATGCGTCTGCCCAGCTCCACCCCGTACTTCAACTTGGATCCAATGCCCAGCAAGGTGTCCAGCGTCTGCTGCTTCTCCTTGGATGGTATCTCCTCGAACTCCAAGGCCACACTGTCTGAGCAGGTGTCGGAGAGATCACTGCCCCAGCGTGTCATCACATTCTGGTTGAGCGTAATTCGATTGAACTTGGGAAACGCACTCTTCTCGATCTCTCCGAGCAGCTGGCGCTCCTTGCTGGAAAGATTGCTGATGCTGGTCATTCCCTCGGCCAAGGCCATGGCGAATACAATAAACCGCAGGTCATTCGGGCGAAACTCGAAGAGTTCTTGAAGACGCAAGGCTTCCACAATGTCGCCCTTGTCCAGCAGAGTGTTTAAAAGTGCGTCCAGTCGGGTTTCCATATCCGAAGTTAATGGGGTCTTTCCAGATATGCTGAGGTCATCGATCCCAGCCAGTTCCTTGAGTTCAGAAAAGGATTTGTAGAGGACACAGCGTTCCTGCAGCATGATTTGTTCATAGTATTCCGAGTGGTAAATGGTGAGCTGGGCGAGCTGATCCTCAGGCAACTGCAGATAGCACAGAACCATATCGTACTCTATCTGATCTCGGTCAAAGGATTCATTGGGAAACAAATGATGCTGCTTGATTACGCCCAGCGCGCTCTGGAGTAGCTCGTAGCGCCGGAGGCCCACTTGTCCAGCGGAGGATGCTGCCTGCAGCAGAAAGTTCACCAGAATGGCGGGTGGCAGCGCATGTTGCTGGATCTCCCTTTCGTATTCCTGATGGGGTCGCAATACGCCTCCTTCGAGCTCGGCCAGCCACTTGCCATAGACTATATCGCTCAGTGGCAGCTGCAGCAAGGTGGCAAGCTGGAGAGCTTCCTCGTAGGCTCGAGCTTCGGTGAGAGCGTCCACCAGTCGCCTGTACTCCGAGCTATCCCTCTTAACCAGCTGCTCTAGATTGATGTCCAGTTCCCTCAGCCAGGTGGCTGCCACACCAAAGACTTTGTGCAGCAGACAGAAATCCAGCAAGTCGCATATGTCTCCCACATCCGAGCGACAGATGCAGTCCAGGAATCGCTGCTGCTGCAGGATGCAATCAAAGTTGGACTGCAGTTGGATGATCAGCAGACCGATGGAGCGTTGCATCGCTTGTTTGCGGGGCAGAGAGCCACACAGAGGCAGAGTCACTGCATCCTGGCTCCAGCTGCAGAAGAACTGACGCAGCTCCACGATGGTGGCATCGCTAAAGTCCTCCTGCTGGGCAGTCAGCTGAAGGAAGCGGCACAGATGCGTGAATTTGCAGTCCTGAAAGGCAAAGGATTTCAATAATAATTCTAAAATTTAAATTACTGTATTTACCGGCTGAAAGATTTCCAGGCTATGCAGCAGGGCATTCACCTGACCCCCAGCTACAGCTCCTCGGATGATCGACCACACCCACTCCAGTCGATTCTCCTCCCGCGCCTTAAAGGTGGTGGCCTCCTGCAGCAGGTGATTCCACTGATTGCTGGCCACCGCCAGCCAAACGAGCCAGCACCATTCGCGATTCTGTTCGCTTAGTGTAGCTGCTAGCACGGCCAAGACAGGCTGTTCCTGTCGGATGCAGTGCCTCAAGAGATTGATGCTACTGCAATGCGGAGGAGCACTGCCCAGCATCATGTCCAGAAACTGTGCCATGGTGGTAATGGCCTCATCCGGCAGATTGTTGGTGCTGCATAGGATAATGGCAAACAGGTCCTGGCGAGCGGTGTGCGTGAGCAAGGTGCAAAGCGACTGATCCGTATTCCTCTGAAGCTGTTGCATGCTAGTGTCTTGATTGGAACTGTGTGAAGAGTTGGTCATCGTCTCTTGAGAGGAGTTTGTCTGGGGCTGGGCCTCTCCGCTGCGACGCGCCGGCCTCTGGAAGTTCCTCTTGTGCTGGCGATCTCCAATGGATTCATAGCTCAAAGCACGCAGCAGATGGACACCCAGGGGAGAAGACTTGAAGTGCGGCAGGAGCTTTTTAAGCTCACTCAGGGGAAGATCAAAGTACTGGAATAGCAGCAACAGGTGCCACCAGTCGTTCTTGGAGGCATAATATTCGAGCAAAGCCACTGGCAGTCTTCCAGGCGTATCCCGCACAGCCAGACGCATCAGAGCCTGGTAGAGTTCCAGGGGAAACTCCTTGGGATTCGCCTCCAACTGCTGAACCAAATCGCGATCCCATTCAGCCAACAAATCCGAGTAACTGCCTCCGCCTCCCTCCCTTCGCTTTGGCATCTTCTTCTGCAGCAACAGAAAACTTCGCAGAGGTTGCGTATCGAATCCCAGCATTTCACAGCAGGCCACACAATGGGTCACTAGTTCCTCGTCGCCAGCGTATTGGAGCGCCATCTGGGTGACCGTTTCGCAGGCATGGAAGAGCTGCGTCTTGGTGATCTGTCCATACAGCTGCAGTTGCTCTGTGATCAGGTAATACACCGCATAGGCACTCCTCTGCTGCTTCAGATAGTGAGTGTAATTGAGTTGAGATTTTCGTGCATACCGTTGGCACAGGCGGGGATTCGAGAAGCTGACAAGCTCACCATGTCCAGCGGCGCCCAGGAGTGGCAAATTTATGTGTTTGAACTTCAGGAAGAGATCGTGGGCCGTGGGCAGGCCGGAACTGCCACTCGTTGGTCCGTGATCGAAGCGAGTTGTCAACGATTTGAGATAAGGGACCCGTCCCAAGCTGGTCGAAGTGAGGAATCCCTCTAGGGAACGCACACTTGGCTCCTGGCCCAGAAAGTCGTAGAAGGTAAGCAGGGGATGTCCCTGAAAAGAATCAGCCAAATCGTGGGTTTTCTCCAGGTATGTCTGAACGCTCTTAGAGATCTGCAAGTAAAAAAGCAACTCAATGAATATTGTGTATTAATCTAAGTGGGTTTATCTTCCTCACCAACTCAAAACCCTCGTTTTCAGCCAAAGAATTCGTTTTGAGGTCCACAATCAGGTTGAGCAACGCCTCCTGATGCGTCTCACTGCCCGCCAGCTGCTCCAGCGAGGCAACGGGCACACAGTCCATGAGGAGCAGTGAGTGGAGGCCACGATCCAAAAGATATTTAGCCAGGGGCTGGCGGCTCAAGAGATCCGCATGTTTGTCCAGGCATTGCATGGTGCACAAGCGTCGCAGCTGGGCGGGAATATCGTTGGACTCGTCCCTAAAGAAGTAACCAGCACGGGCAAAGAAGTTACGAAGCACCTCGCTGGGCTGCTGCAGCTGCTCCAAGGCATACTCGTACATGGTGGCATCTATTTTCCAGGCCGCAAATCCCTGCTCCAAGGGCGAGAGCGCTTCTTGGGCATCCACAGCTGTCTCCTGGAAGCGACACCATCGCTGCAGCTTTTCCAGCTGGTTGCTATCCACCAGATGCTGCCAGACCATTTCCTTGGAAAGGGATCCCAACAGAGATTCATTGCCGTTGGCAAAATATAGCTCCACGAGTAACAGTTGCAGTGCCTCCTCCGGCAGGGTCATTAAGGCTTCTATGTTGACGCGGGGCAGCTGCACCCTGTGCTTGGCCAACAAAGAGTCGCACTCCCTTAGCTGCTGTACCAGCGACCAGTGATAGGCCAGGACGGGCTCCTCTTGTTCGTACATCAGTGGCTCCCGGTTGCGCAGATGATCCAGGACGAACTCACTCAATTCCTCGTCCTGGCACTCGCAGGCGAACTGGAAGAAGAAGCACTTGACGTCCCGGTCTACATTGCGGATCACGTCCTCCGCCTTGCACACCAATCGCTCCGAGAGCAGCCGCTGCACATAGGCCTGGACGACGTCATAAAAGATGTGACAATACTCAGAGGTGGGAATTTTTCGCTTTTTCGCCCAGAACTCCATGCACAGGGCGATGTGCTCGCCCTTGGTGGCCACCTCCTTGATGATGGTCACCTCGCTGATACCCGACCAGCTCTTGAAGATCTTGTCCCGGACCTGGGCTTGCGCCTGGGCGGAATGCATCGCGTTGGGTGGAGTTTTTCAATGGAATGTTCTGCGGGTATTTTCACATCTCTTTGTTTCGGAACGGGAACAATCAACAGTTGATAATAGGAAAACAGCTGTTACTTTGTGGAACCTTATCTTTGGTTCCGGAATTAGTTCCAATCCCATGAATGTTTAACCCTCTAGTGCCACTTTCCACAACAATCGAAGAAATTAAATGAAATATATATACTTAAATTCTAAAAAATATTTACACGTAAAAAAAGCATTTATTATTTTTGGAATTGTGAATAATGTAATAAAAGCCCAAGTCATTTTTATTATATCTTTATGTTTATCGTAAATAACTAGAATAATTTTTAATACTTGTGCTCAAATGGAAAATTATCCCCCCAAACACAAATGACATTCAAAATAATAGATCAATTTATACAAACTTAATGAATTTTATTCCATATACATACTTTTCTTACACATATCCATATATCCTTTAATATTTATAGCATCTTAAATTAAGAATTAAGTCTTACAATTAATAGAGAATTCATGTTTTCTGGAGTTAATGTCTTGGGATAATTAATTATAACTTTAAGGGCTGAAAACGACCTAACTACTGTCACCTGAGATGCCGGTGCGGCCAACACCACCTGCACAAGTGCACCTATTTGGGGTGACCTAAATTTTAAATCGTGGTAGAACTTCTTTATATCACTGTTGAGAGGTAATCGACCATAAGCTGTGCTAAAATTTTCAATTTCCATGTAGATTTTTGCTAGCTTTTCCGATACATCGGCTTCAAATTCTGCCTGTGGGAGTGTCTGTATATCGTCCAAAAATGACTCCAATAAGGATTTCTCCTTCACATCAGCCTCAGTGGATTCAATTTTGATTTCAGGTGGTTTTATTGTTCCATTTGAACTAAAAATACGAAATGCTATTTGCTTTAAAAGTATTTTTGCCGTTGCCTTTTGTTCCGCCGTTAAAATCAGATTGACCCTCGGGTCCATATATATCGCTGCCAAAAATGCTTTGTTTTCCCACAACTGCTTTTCGCGAACTTTAAGTTGACACAATAGTTCCTTCATTAGGTAGTTTTGGGTTTTTTCAGCTTTCAGCTTTAGCTCCATCCACAAAATAAAAAAGTCACTGTAGGAAAAATGCTCCTTTTCCAGCAGCAAAGTGGCTTCATGGGTTTCTTTGAAGGCTTCAATGTACACCTCAACCCAGGCCCAGTCTATGCTGAAATCGACTTCAATCTGCGAAGTAATGAACTCCTTGAGCTCAAATAATTGAACAAGCATCGTGTACGAAGAGTTCCACCGTCCAGGAACATCAAGAGTTGGTATCGGTTTGTCCTCCTGCATCAAGGTGCGTCTGCAAATAAATACAAAATATTTTAATATCTAAGATTGTACTTAAACTGAAAAAATGTACTACCTATATTTTCCGATGCGCAAAACTTTACACATTTGGCGGCAAGAGGAGAATTTTTGTGAGAACTCGCTTTGTCTATTTACGTCGTGGACACACAAGTGCAGGGTATGAGCAGCACAACGCAGAAGCGGCACGTTGGGAAAGGTCATGGAGTTAAGCAATTCCATAAAATACTCGCCGTTGTCCTCATCGTTTACACTTTCTGCTGCGGCATTCTCATTAAGGAGCTCAATAGCCGTTGCCATATTCTTTCCGTTATCTGTCGTTATGCTAAAATCAATGATTAATTAATTAACTTTTTAAGAAAAAATAGAGAATGCTTACCTAAAAATCTGATCCATTTGGATGCCATAACTCTCCATTGTCTCTACTATTTTATTTTTTAAGCATAGCTCAGTAAGATCCTCAGATAACTGGATCACCCCAAGCGTTTTGACGACGATATCATTCCCTGTCAGGGTCGAACTAATAAATTGTAAATTAATCACCAGAACAGACCTTTCCAGTCCGGTGGCCACATCTAGTTTAAGGGATACAAGTTTACGTTCCACAGAAGCCCTTATGCCTTGTTTTATGTCCAGCTCTTTTCCACTAACGTGATCCATTATATTTTGAGATGTGATTTGGGGCATTTCCAGGGCATCAAATATGGGGTTAAAAAGCATACGAAACCCTTCGTTGTCAAAGAGCGACAATGGATTGCCGCCATCGGAAGCAATATTTACCACTGCCGATATAACTTCATCTTCTGTTGTCTCGATCACAATTTTTCTTCTTTTACAGGCCTTTTTTGGCTCACCGATATCCTCAGATAACGACTCATATGTTTCCTGATGTTTTTTGCTTAAATGACGTTTCAAATTTGTTGAATGGTGACCGGCTAATTTTATGCCACAAATGTTGCATTTTGATTGATCTTTTGTTTTGTCATACGTAAAGAAAAGTTGTACTCGACCAGCTACACGACCCATCGGAATTGCTGACCGTTGCCGTAACACTCACTTTAGAACACAATCAACGGAAAGAGCGAAATGGAGTAGAGCATTTATTAATCGGTCTTTGACAACCGGTTGCTTGGAACTGATAGTAAAGTCAGACACACAAGCACAAGGAAGGTCCCAAAGTATCCAAATTATAAATGAACAAATGTACAAAGACAGCAACGAATAGCGCTCGTTGGTTGAGCAACAATCCAATCGCGAACAGAGAAGTAGTCTTTTTGTTGACAACAAAACCTTTTTGTGAGCTCCGAAGAACACAACTGGGAAATTATCGATATCAACATCGATTACTTAGTTTTGACGATTTGAAACAATCGATGTACGTAATACGAAATAAATTCGTTTTTCCAAAAACCAATGGATTTGTAGAATTATGATTTTTATTTTTGTTTTCGTTTATATATTATTAAAAAATATTTTTGTATTTTGTATGTTATTAAACCCCTATTTAATTATTTTTGTATTAATTTCGGTGTTTTTTTTTAATGGATCCCATTGAATTAAAAATATAAAAAATGTCAATTTCGAAAAGTAAATAGATACATTGAAAATAGTTTTTTTTTTAAATATAAATATTAATGCAGCCCTAGTGAATAATTTTATTTATGTCGATAGTATTAATATCTGGGCTCACTTTTCAGGGAGACCGTTTTCTTTGAATGGTGGTTCCATTTATCGATAGCTTCGTTAAAAAAAAATTTAACGAAATGTTTTGCATGTTTATTTTAAGACAGATTTTAGTTCTGTGTCCCATTTATTTTTTATATGGATACAAGGAAAATAAATGTTTCGCCTGGCTCAAAAAGCACACACATTTGAAATGAAATAACCGCATATCGATACTATCGAATGGTTCGCAAGCCAGTTCATTTCGTTCGTTTAGTTCGTTATCGGAACTTATACAGCTGTTTCTGGTTCCACGCGAAGTTGACTGTGGTTCGTTGAGCGAACCAGCTCTTTCTTTTTACTTCCTTTCGGTTCCGAACAAGCAGCAAAATGTCGAAGAGAGGTAAAAATGCGAAAAAATAATCCAATTAAATCGGCGAATACACGGCAAATTTGTGATACATAAATATGCGACGCCGTCGAGAGTGAAACAATGAAGTGACCTAACTAATTATCTGTTTTTCGCCGTCTAGGACGTGGAGGTACCGCGGGAGGAAAGTTCCGCATCTCTCTGGGTTTGCCCGTGGGCGCTGTGATGAACTGCGCTGACAATACAGGTGAGTGACGATGGCTGGCAAGGATTAGGACCTGGATTTTATCATGCTCTCCGTGTCTTTTAGGTGCCAAGAACCTGTATGTTATTGCCGTGCACGGAATTCGCGGTCGCCTGAACCGTCTGCCAGCCGCTGGCGTCGGTGACATGTTCGTGGCCACCGTCAAGAAGGGCAAGCCCGAGCTGAGGAAGAAGGTGAGTTTAAATCCATGTGAGAAATGTGTGAAAAGGGGCAGAAGTGTGTATAAGACTAGGTGTTTTTTTGGATTGTGCCGGCTTTGTGAATGTATCACGTTTTTATACATTTTGTTTTTGTACTGTTTTTTAAATGAAGCTAATTGTGAGCTTGTTTGCTTCGGGCATTTGTAATTTGTTGCCGTTGCAACGTGAAACCAGCAGTATATTGTATTTTTTCTTATCTGTGTATTAAGATGACACACATTTTGTTGTAAAAAAGAGGAGTTGGTGATTATAAAGCACGGTGTTACATTTTAATTTATTGAAAATCATCTATAACTTGTGTATTTTGCTTATAAAAGATAACCGGCAAGATAACTTATCTTTGCCAAGCACGTTTTCTTTGATTTGTTATTGTAAATTCTCATGAAAAGAAATATTCTGCTAAATAAATAATTGTATCTTGCCTATTCCTTATATTGGATTAGAACAAAAACATAAACTAGAAATAACAGAAAAGTTAAGACTTGGAAGTCTTAAAATGAGTACTTAAAATTTTGAATATTTCGTAAAGATTTATAATGTAAACTTATTCCCTGAACTTTCTCCTTAATCACACACTCCATTCCTTTCTCCACTTACCTAACTTTACTAATCTGTTCCTTAACTCCCATTTCAGGTCATGCCTGCCGTGGTGATTCGGCAGCGTAAACCGTTCAGGAGGAGGGATGGCGTTTTTATATACTTCGAAGACAATGCCGGGGTAATAGTAAACAACAAGGGCGAAATGAAGGGCTCGGCCATCACCGGGCCCGTGGCCAAGGAATGCGCTGATCTGTGGCCCCGTATCGCATCCAATGCAAGCTCTATAGCCTAAGGAGCTCCCATTTTCAAATAAAACCCTTAACGGAAAACAGATTGTTTTGAATAAGAAGTGTCTCGGATCTTTTATTGAATGCTGCAAGAGTGATTCGATTTCGGAGGATCGTCGTCTCTACTTGGGTGCCTCGGTGCGCAGAGTGGGCTTGGGTCGAGTCACCTCCATCGAGATTTTGCCGTTGGCACCCTTGAATAAAGCGTAGCAGACCTGGAACGTGAGGCCCTCCAGTGAGTCGCCATTGAACTTGGTGATGATGTCGCCGCGCTGCAGTTTGTTGTCGATCTCCGGGTACTGGCCTTGTATCTACGAAATGGAATGTATCTCAAAGATGTATCTTTTTCGTTTAACTCCACCGAAAACTTACTACGTCCGCTATGGTGCATCCACGTTCGTTGGGCGACAGGGAGAGGCCCAGTTCCTTGCCAGACTTCTTCATAAAGTCCACATTGAACTTTTCCAGCTCCGGTGGATCGGCGCGATAGACCGTGAGGGTTACGGTCTTCTCGTACGTAGTGTGGAACAGCTGATGGACCTTCAACGTGGTCATGGCACCCACGTGGGTTGGTACTCCGTTTACATCGCAAATATGGTCGAAAATCTTGAGGCGATTGTCGGCGGCCACGGCTCCCTCTGGATAGACGTGCGTGATCACACAACCAGTCTGCAAGGAGGGATTAAATGGAATAATCTCGAAAAAAAAAAGAACCTAAGTGAGGCCCACCTTGACATGGTTGTTTTTGCCGCCGCAGACTATAACGCCCAGCGGCTTCTTATCCACCTTAATCTCGATGAGAATCTTCTTGTTGGGCTTGATCTCGGCTGTGGCTGGTTCCTGCGGCTTCTCCTCTTCCTTCTTGGCCTCTGCGAGTTGGAAGGTATCTAAAGTTTAAGCAACCTGTTGTTAGAAGCAATACTTACCCTCCTTCTTCTTTTCCTCCGCCTCCTTGTCGGCCTTTATGGCCTCCTCGCTCTTGAGGGTTAATAGAATCATGGTCACATTGCCCTCGGCACGTTTCAGCAGTCCAGTTGCCTGAGGTCATGGAAAAAATGAGGATAAACTAAGGGGATTGTTTCGTATGCAACACTCACATCATCGTAGTTGGACTCCAAAGTCACGTCTTGGTTGACGGCCAGCAACATGTCGCCTACTTTCACGCCCGCCAACTCGGCATTGGAGCCCTCTCTCAGATCGGAGATGAAGATACCATTGCCCACTTCGGCATGCTTGCCATAGATGACCATGATGCCCAGAAAGCCATCCTTGCGCACCTGCACCGTGCGCGCCTTGGGGAACTGGTCGAACAGGAACTTGGTCTGTCGGAATATTTATAAATATTAATATAGCTTGTTTATTTAAAGAGAGTGTTGTCCCATTTACCTCATCCGACGAGGTGGGGAATTTCTTGATTGGCTTCACACACATGCCCTCATCGTTGGGCTTGCGCCGCGAGGTGATCAGCACCAGCTTGTCCCCGTCCACATTCTTGAACACGGCGGAGGCGTTCAAGTGGCAGCGATTCTTCAGCACATTGCCGTTGACTTCGACAATTTCGTCGCCGGGCTTGAAGTCTGCGCTGGCGAAAACTCCGTTGGGATCCACGCCGGCCACGAAGCAGGCCATCTTCTGGCGGTCCTTGTGTCCGGCAAGAGCAATGCCTAGCGGCTTGCTAGGATCCCTCTGGACCTCGACCCTCCGCAGATCCTTCATCATGTTGTACCGCTTGTTGATCTTAGCTGGGTGGGAAGATAGTTTACTGGCTAGTTAGATTAGTTTTCTGGAGGAGATTTACCCATTGTATAGCCAAACTCATCTTCTTGCTCTTTATCGCGATCCTTCTCCATCTTGTTCAGCTTGCAGTTGCCGGCGGAGGCGCGATCGATCTGAGGGATTGTGGGACTCGGGTTTTAATATAAAACCTACCTAAAAGCTTTATTAATTAATAACCCACCTCATATCCCGCCTCCGTGCGAATGCGACCGGTCATATCCCGGGTATCCTCGTCATCCTCATCCGCATAGTTGCTGTATTTCTGTCGCATCGATGCCGTAAATGTGGTATTCCGCTTCTGCATCGTCTGTTGCCGATTCATGCCTCCCATTCCCTGTCCCTGATTCATGCCCTGACCCATTCCCTGACCTCCGCCTGCATTGTTGTTGGTCATCTGGTCCTGGTTAAACTTGTTCTTGGCCTGCATGTAGCCATTGCTCCGCGGATCTCCCTTCGCCTGCTGCTGCTGCTGGTCATCGCTCTTGTCGTAGGTCTGAATCTCCAGGTCGATCTTGAAGTCCGCCTCCTTGATGAGATCGATGACCGCCTGCTCGGTGGAGTGGCGCACATCCTTGCCGTTTAGTGAGAGGATACGATCGCCAACCTTCAAGCGCCCGCACAGGTGGGCAGGACTATCGGGCACAATGCCCTTGATGAAAATGCCGGTGGTCTTGGTGTTGGGTGAGTCCTTTACCTCGCCGCGTACAATGCAGATGCCGAAGGATTTCCTGCCAGTCTTGTCCAGGGTCACCATGTGAACTAGTTCTGTAATTGGGGTTTTATATAGGATGTAGCCATGGTATATTTTTATACCCTTGCAGGGTATTATAATTTCAGTCAGAAGTTTGCAACGCAGTGAAAGAGACGTTTCCGACCCCATAAACCATATATATTCTTGATCAGCATCAACAGGGGAATCTTTCTAGACATGTCCGGAAGAAATCGATTTTTTGGGCATTTTTGCAAAATTTTAAAGGGGTTACATCATTAAATTTTTGATTTTGATAAAAAAATTGAATTTTCAAAAATTTTAAATTAAGTATGCAGATTTATTAACTGTAGAAAATCTTGCACAGAACAGTTTTCCGATTTAAAATTAATGCTCTTTTGGCCGAGTTATGATATTTTTAATTTTAAAAAAATCAAAAAGTTTTTTAATATACAAAAATCCGACTTATAATACAAAATAATATTTTTCTAAGTCAAGGAATCATTTCCGACCCCATAAACCATATATATTCTTGATCAGCATCAACAGGGGAATCTTTCTAGATATGTCCGGAAGAAATCGATTTTTTGGCCATTTTTGCAAAATTTTAAAGGGGTTACATCATTAAAATTTTTGATTTTGATAAAAAATTTAATTTTTTAAAATGTTTAAATGAAGTACGCTGATTTATTAACTGTAGAAAATCTTGCACAGAACAGTTTTCCGATTTAAAATTAATGCTCGTTTGGCCGAGTTATGATATTTTTAATTTAAAAAAAATTAAAAAAAAAATTGTGTTCCCGGACATGGCTAGACAGACTTTTCTATTGATGCTAATCAAGAATATATATGATTTATAGGGTCGAAAATGACTAGTCCACTACTTCGACAACTTCTGAGTATAATTATAATACAAGGATAACCTATACAGTAAATTTGTAAATTGCATTAATGCGGGTATATTCCTTTTAAGTTTTCAAAGGTTACATAATTTTTGAAAATATGACAAAATGTTTTTCTTTACAATGATCCTTTAAAAAAGATAATCATTTAATGATTTTCAATGTCTCAAGTGAACATTTTAATTTGTAAATCTTTATAGTCTTGTTAATTATTCAAAATTTCCTCGGATATTAATTCTCAAGAACATGAGACCACCATTTCAAGGTCAAGTTCTCACAGGATTAGCTGAAAATTTGATTAGCAATTGGCCTTGAAGCCACTCAATGGGCACTGACCACCATTGGCGCCCGGATTCCCCAGGAACTGAACCATCCTCGCTGGCTGGTATCGATTGCTCTATAATCCACACCAAACTCGCGACTCACTGGCCGGACATTAAGTGCACACAAAGATTAATTGATAATTTATTTGTAATAGTTTTATTTATTTTGAATTTTTTATTAGTTGTAAGTATTCCGCGTTGGCAGCGCCCGATTTGAGTCCATTGAAAAGTGCGCCTAAACTGATTTTACAATTAGCGGACGAACATTCTTGCTAACTGACTTAGTGGCCATTCTATTTTGAGTATGATTTTCGTATCGATTACACTGGTCAGCAGGGGTTCGCTTTTTGTGTTCGGAATGAAGGAGAAATCATTAGAGACTGGTCCCATACATTAAAATATATTAAATTTCATATGGATAATAAGGTTCAGTTCTTAATGTTTAAGTTTAGATTTTGAAATTACATTAATTAAATAATAATATGTTATATAATCTTGGTTTACAATGTTAAAAGCACTGCCATAATGTTAAGAAATTTGCACAAATCTCTAGTACTCAAATATTTATTTCGTATAATACTCTACAAAAAATTCCCTTACCTGCAGCATAGGGCTATCGATCTGGCGGAGGTGCTTCCATTGCATTGAGTAACTTTCGCTGTCTGTTATGACACTACTCTCATAATACATAGCTCCCCCAAGACGGTCATTATGTGGACTAGAATTGGGAAACAGGGAAGACGTGCAAGGGGAATTGTCAAGTGCCTTTATTGTCCATATCACGTTATTAATTTGTTGAGGCGATTTGACCAATGCTGAACTCAACACTCCAGAGCAGAGGAAGCCCGTCAAGTGTGTTGGCCAGAAATGCCCATCGATTTTATATTTTTCTTTCATTGCACTTACAACAAAATAACATATGTTACACACACACTCTTTTTACCTTTAGAAGTGGTTTGTATATCTCTTGGCTCTGCAATATAAAGAATATTTGATTTTAAAAAGTTGAGAGAAGATTATCTAGAAAATATAGTATATTAGAAGCTTCAGAGAAAATTACAATATATATATTATAATAATTATTTATTTGTTAATAAACAATATAACAAATTTTTTTGGGGGTTCAGATTTCTAAACATTTTTAACCTAAAATTGAATTCTGCCTCAAATTTTTTTATTAAAATTGTGAAATAAAATGTCATTGTTCTCTTATTTCCCTGTTAAAATTATATTTTTGCTAATGTAATTCAATAATAATCTCAGGAAATGTATAATTAAGAAAAAATATAACAAATTTACATTAAAGTATTTCTGCTCCAAAATGTAGGCAACACATTTTGATAACATTTCATAACAGATATTTTCCAAAAAGGATATACCTAAAATCCTCATTTTATTTGCGACAAAGTGAAAGGCAATCAAATAAAGGCTCTAGGACTCCAGGACAATTGAAGTGTCGAATGAATTTAATTTGCCAGCCAGGCTTAAATTCATAATCAAGATTTGCATTTTAATGCCGAAAGAAGGACGAAGGGGGAAAAAGAAAACGGAGAAGGAACAAGAACGGGAGATATGCAAACATTTCCATTAAATGCTCGAACGAAATGAAACGCGCGGAGGAATAGCTAAGGCAGCGCCAAAGGAAAACTAGAGTAAACACATGCTCAAAGGCGAGCGGAGGAAAATTGGGGGGGCAAAACTGGAAAATGGCCACCAAAGGAAGAGGGAGAGCTAGAGACATAAGAGGAAGAGAGGGAACGCCAACGACTGCGAAACGATGTTGGAAATTAATTTCATAATAAAAAAGCGTAAGGAAACCCATTTGATAAAACAATTTCCTTTTTGCCTCCCAACAGTCATGTTTTGTTAGTAAAGTAAATTCAAAAGAGAGCACAGCGAAAATATGGCAATGAGCTTAACTCTCTCCACTCCTGCTCTGCTCTCCTCTCCATCTCGCACTCCTCCCTCTCCTCCTTCAACAGCCTCTGCCAGCGTCAGCGTTGCCTCTGCCAGGACGTCGCCTTTCGATTGGCTCTCCGGCCAGGGCCACGCCCACAGCAATGGCTGCTTCCTTTTGGGCTGTTGCTGTTCCTCTCTTTCTCCGTCTGGCCATCTCCCATCCCCTGACGTCCTGGCCATGAAGCTGTGCTGCCGCGTCGCAGTCGGCGCATGGTTGTTGCGAGGATTTAGTTAACTGAAGTGATTTTCCACTGTTTGCCGTCGCACACACACCCACTGCCTCACTCTTATGTAAGTGGCCACACGTGCTTGTGTGTGTGTGTGTGTTTGGGAGACCGTGTAGGTGTGTGTGTATGGGTGAATCCGTTGTTGACTTGTTCTCGTGTTGTACTTACATGCAGTTATATCAAATTGCTAATAATCGTTTAGCAGGCACTTCAGAGCGCGTCCTGGAAATGAATAAAAATTACAGTTTTCTGCGCAAAAACACTTCAGACTTCAGCGGCGATACGGATTCGGCATAATATGGAAATTGCTCGCACAAGCTGCGTTGTTGGATGGGTGAAGAAGTAGGGGAAATCAGGGAAAAACCACAACGGAGCTATGATGTTACCGGTTGTAAGGATATTATACAGCCGGGACAGGGAGCTGAATAACCGTTAGGTTCTTAAAAAGTAAATTATTTATTGCATTTTTGGTAAATAGGAAGCTTGTCCCAAACTTCCATTATATGTAAATGTAATTTTAATTTATTAATAAAATTCACATTGGCTTTGAATGCTTTTACATTACAATATCCTGCTTTAGAATCATTGCATACTTTTTTGCTGTCTTTTATTTTGGGATTAAAATATATAAATAAAATAATTTAAAATAATATAAAAAATATATTATATAATATATATAAAAATAAGATATATTCATATTATTTTATTTTAATGTTAAAAGAAAATCTGTAAATGAAATGTAAGGTGAATTTTCGAATTGGCAATGATCGCCTTTGCAAGATTCTTTGTGTTCTTATTTTCTAAATTACTTCAATATGATATCCTTTTTTTAAACGATCTGATATTCTTAAAACCTTTAAATATTTTAAATTAATATGGTAGGTAACCAGACTTCAAATAACCATACATATATGTTTTGATACCTCTTCAAAATAAACCCAAAACCGATAATCCCAACGATGCTTTATAGTACCCGATACGAAATGCAATTTGAACTCCTGAAAAACTCATTGAGAAACTTATAATCGATATGATATTGAGGGACGCAACAGGCTCTCATCTGCCGCCCGTTAAGATACACAAAACAAAGCGGGACCTCAGCCTCTCCTCTGGAGGAGTGGAAAACCAACTGAATATTCTCACGACATTTAAGGACATCTACAAGCAATTACGCCCGTACATGTGTACCCGGCCCCTGAGTTCGAACTCCGAACTTTTAGCCTGAGTTCCGGCCGGAATGGCGCACGGAATGCCTGCAGGGTGAGGGCGACGGGGATTATAGATATTTGTGTTTACTACGGCTGTACATATAATGTCCTCATAACTTTTAATACGTGAACGTGATAGAGCAAATAATGGTGCCCACATGGACTCGGAGGGCAGTCAGTTCACTTGCAGCCGAAATCCGGAAAGGGGAACTAGAACGGGAACGGGATTTACGGGATTACGCGCGCCGCCCAACATTAAAACTCAATTTGAATGACAACGCGTAAGCAAATAATTGTCCTTTTACGACCCGCCAGTGTCCTCGGTCTTCACTTGAAAGTTTGCTCTCCACACGGTAGTAAGTTATTCAAATATTGAGTTTTTCAACTCAACTCGACTCGAGCAACCACCCCCAGGAACCGATCCGTGAATGTGTGCAGGGTCGCAGGCGGATTCCTCTGATGACAAGGACGAGGATGAGGATGAGGACGAGGCCTCGAAATTTCATTCGCTTCCCTTTGTTTGAGTTGGGCTCGGTTCACTCCTCTAAATACATTTGATTTGTTTACCATGGCCCGAGGCAGAGCCCAAGCCTTAGCCGGAGCTGGAGATCTTAAGCTGCATGTAAATGCTTTAAATTAAATTTCAAACGCTTGTACTCCATCTGAAGGACAATGACAACCAAATGGCTGAATGGATTGAGTGGGTAGTGGCTGACGATTTTGATTTAGTGCTCATCCGGCTGTCTAATGCGATTATGGGAAGAAAGATTTGCCAGCTTTCCATATGGAGACTGGGTTTTCGGGAAAACAAAATGGAAGCTTAGAACGGAATTGTTTTTAACTTGGGAGTATAACTTGTTTGCTTAATTTGGAATATTTGAAATAAAATAATTATAAAAATTCCCTAGCTGTTATACATAACTTAAATATATGTCAAAAAATCTATATAATAAATTCAACAAAGATATATTCCCATTTTAAAATGATCCAAGTCTCCTTAAATTTATTTCACTATTATATCACCATTAAATTTGAATTTGTAGCAAGGTAAATCATATAAAAAACAAATTTCCTTAATTCTTAAGATATTCTCACAATGTTCTTCATTAAATCTACTTGCTTTTAGGTCTGATGGGACGTTCGCCAACTTATTCTCCCTCCCTTGGTGATTGCAGATTCAATATTGTTGATTTTGGACACTGATAGCCTCTGATAAAACCATCGACACCATCCCGCACGTGTTCGCACTTCGTGGTCCTTTGGGCACGCGTTAACTTGTTTGTGATATCCTCATCATCAGAGCAGGCAAATATTTATTGTTCGCATTTTATTTGCAGCGCAAATTGGTAATACCGGGACTCTCCGTGTCCATATCCGGGCATTGTGTCCTCTATTTTCTTTTCATTTGTCGCCATGTCGCCCACATTGCTTTGATCTAACGAATTGATTTACACTAACGATTATTTAATGAAATTCCACAAGCGGCACTCCGTATCCCTGGCAGGAAGTGTGAATTACCCAACACCCACTTCGATTCTGGGTGATTCGGGGAGCGTCCACGTGCCACACGTGCCCGATGACAACTTATTAGGCATGTCTTGCGCCACTTTCCACCCACTAATTTCCTATTTCCCATTTTCTATTCAGAACAACTTTTCACTGTTTGATTCTTTCTGGTTTGATTTAAATTTGTTTTCACTCAAGAGTCGTTCGGTGTGATGTGTTATCCCTTTTGTGGATTGTTGTTATGCTCACGGTTGGGCAACTTATGAAGATAATTGATTGGTTCTAAGAAAAGGATTACTCATACGACATGTTAGCAGATCTGAAAATCTTCAAGCTAAATTT